CCGAGTATTAGGATTCCGAGCCCGTGTAAAGACAAAAAACCCGAGCGATCGAGTCGAGTATACTCGAACTCGCTCGAACTCGACTTACTCTACTTTTAATGCCAAATAAAAAGAATAATATAAAAGGGCTTTCGAATTTAATTCCAACAAATTTGTCCGTCTTTCTAAACTTTTCTCAACAACATGAAATATCGAGAGGATGATTTCTTTATTGTCATCTGGCTTTGTGTTTTTAATATTTGGCAGTTTTTGTGGTGTTGGTCTCTACATGTACATTCAATACAAAAAGATTAGAAAGGAAAAGGAACATGTCATGCGACTCCAACGAAAATATTTGCTCGCCCACAAAGCCAAGTTCTAATGGTTGGTTTTCGAAATTAATTTTTTTGCTAAAAATTTATTTTATTTCAGAAAAGTTCTAATCATTAACTACTACTATAGACAATAAACAACAAAAGAAGTAAAGAAATTAGAAGTGAGGGAAGAATGTTATTGTCATAAGATAAAATATATAAATAATTTTGCTTTGTTAAATTTGTTGAATATTTCTATTTTTGTTGTTGTAAATATGTATATTTTAAAACATGCTAGAAATAAGGGGTGTATTAAGGTTGGCTGTTCCAGATATCTGGAACTTCCAAAGATTTTTAGGGTTTTTGTCTTAGTTGAAAATGAGCCAAAACTATGCATAATTATTTACCGTAATAATGTCCCTCTCTCAAATAGTTCCCCCCGCCCTATTAATTACCCCCTACAGCCAGAGATCGAAAAAATAATTACTCCTCTTAAAAATAGTTATAATTAGCCTTTTTTAAAAAAGCTCAAATAATTACCCCCTCCCTTTTAATCACCCCCTCAAGCGATAATTACCCTCTGTAATTATTAGTTTTATATATTTATTAAAGATTTTCAGTTAATTTATTTAAAATTATATTTAAATATATAATTCCTTAAAAATACCAGTTTCCCAAACATTTTCTCTAAATATATTTTCTCTTTTTATATCAATAAAATAATCAACACTATTAAGCCATTAATTAGCTTATATAAAATGATGGCGCTATTCCCGACAATAATTATGTACATGTTTTTTTTAATCAAATCTTTTTTTGTAATTAAAAATATTTATTTAATTAATTAAAAATTATTTGATTTTAGTTAGAATTATGTATCTTGGCGATTTACTTGATTTTTTTCACCACTTTATTAAATCACATTTACATTTTATGTTTATAATTAGGGATGTACCCCCGGCCTGGGAAATTCCTTATAGGAACGAGGAATTTGAAAGGAATTAAAATTTAATTAAAAGGACGAAAATTTTAATAAAAAAAAGATTTCACTACAAGTAAACTAACGGAAAAAATTGGCTAAATCTCGTTTCCTTCTCTTACAAGTATTAATACCAGAGATCGGCCCGAGACAAAATCTTGAACAGAAATCTCTGTTATCTAGAAATCAATATTTTTGAGATCTCGATTCCCCTACAACACTCCCCAATCCAATCTCTAATAAATTATTATTTACATTTTATTTAAATTATTTATTTTAAAAAATATTATTAAAAATATTTAAAAATATTTAAATATTAAAAAATATTTTTTTAAATATTTTTTTAACTTTAAAATATTTTGTAGATTTTTAAACAAAAAGTTTTCCCTTATGCACCAAATATTTATTCACAATTTTCAACTTTTAATTATTTTTTTAAATTTTATTTTGACATTTTTTAATTCTTCATTAATTGTTATTGCTTGCACACAACAATATAGAAAAGAATTAAATTATTTAGATTATTATCTTGGAATAAGTCCCGGTAATGAAGATGGGGAAATTGGGGTTAAAGGTAATTTTTAAAGGAGGAAAAATTTTAAATTTATTTTTAAAATTTATTTAAATAAATTTTTTGAGTAAAATCAAGGGGAAATAAATTAATTGGGAATTGGGTGACAAATAAACTTTATGTTGTATTAATCATTTGGGATAATCGAATTAACTAAATTTATAAAACAATTTAAATAGAAAATTAAATTTTACCCTTAAATTACTGTAAATAAGCACCTTATGTTTATTTCTCAATTTGTTTGAGATGATTAGGGTTTTCGGTTTCATCAAATTCTTCGGTTAACCGAAACCGAACCGAGAACACAGTCAAAATCTTTGGTTTTTCGATTCGGTTTAAAACCGACAACCTTAGAGATGATCTTTCAAAAACAAACAGTTTCCGGAATTTACGATATTTCTTAAGTAAAATAAAAAAATGCCAAATATTCAACCAAACATTTATGTATGTACATTTTTTTATTAATTAAAAAAGAGCAATTAATGGATAAATATATAAATATTGCCTCTCAATTAAATTGTGATTTTTCTACAAATTGTTTATGGGCAAATGCTCCTTCTGATGGATTACTTGATAATAGCGATTTTTATCTTTTCCAAAAGAATAACGATAAATCCTTTCCTTTACAAGTTGGACCTGGAAATTCTCATCCAGAAATTGGTTATTTGTTTTGAAAAAATGTTTAAATTTAATTTCGAATTTTTGAAGGTACTTATTTTGCTTTTGCTGGGAATTTAACAAAAGATCCAAATCACGCAACTTTAATAAGTGCCCCAATAGCCTGTCAAAGCACAACAGGAATTCTCTCATTTGAGTTCAAAAAAACTTTTTTTTGGAAACTTTTTAAATTTATTTTTAAGATATTGGCTATATAATAATGCGAGAATTGAAGTTATTGTACTTAAAGTTAATCCGACGTGAATAATTTATTTTTAATTTAATTCTGATTAAATAATTGGAAATTTAATTTTTATATTTTTCGTCTTTTCTTTTAATTAAGATTTAAAAAAAATATTTTTCGATAAGAATTAATTGTTGAGAATATTTTAAATTAAAATATCTAATTGGTACTTATTGGTTATACGCCTACAAACTGAGCGCCAGCCGAATCTTATCGGCTTTAACTTTTTGATCCGTCCAACTTACTCTTATCACTCCTTAAAAAGTTATAACCCGATAAATGTGGAAAATACCAAATAACTAGACTTATTGTGTTATAACTTTTAAATTAGTGATCAGACATGATATATACTATAGGATGAAGGTACCGCTTTCGAGGGCTTTTGAATGATATAAGATTTTGTGGGCGTATAACCGATAAATACCATCTACTTATTCTTCTAATTAATCCAAAAAATATTTTTTTCTTTTCAAGTCGAGGCCATTTAACAGTAATTGAACGTCCAATAACTGACTGTCATTATTTAAAACCAAACGGTCTTTGCCAAGTAGAAATTAAAAGACAACCACAACCATTTAGATTAGCATTAAGAGGATTTAAATTAAATGACCAAACAATTGGTTCTTTTGTTTTGCTAACAAAAATTAAATATGAAGCTAATTTATGTGGATTTTATGTTAAGTATTTTTAATTTTGGGATTTTTAAAAATTATTATTTTTTGTAGATAAACCCCCAATATTTGATGCAATACAAACATCTAGATGGGTACATCAAAGAAAACCAATTATGACTACTTCTGATTTAAATTGTGGAAATGAAGAGGGAAATGAAGAATTATTTCAAGTAAATTTTAAAGAAGAAAATTTCTGGGAAAAATGGGGAAAACAAAATTGGAAATGTTCAGTTGTCTGTAACCTGTCCTCAAGGAGTACTTTCATTCCCTCTTAGCAAACAGCCACCTGCAGGATAGTCACCAAACAAACTTTTATATAAAGAATTAAATTTCGATAAATTTAATTTTATTTAATTAAAAAAATTTATTCATTCTAAATATTCGACAAAATTATTTTACAATCTATCAAAAAATTATAGAGCAATATCAATTCCAGAACTCTTCCAATTTTCGACAAATTCCTGACTTTTATTTTATTCTCTTTTTTAATTAATTAATATTCTTTTTAAAAAAGGAATGTCTTTGGTTTGATTTTTCAAAAACAGCAAGTTCTAGTGTTTCCCATACAGCACACTGGTCTATTGGAGAAAAAACATATTTATGGGAGCAAATAGTCAGAACGCCTTCCAAACCTTCTGGCCAATTTTATTTTCAATTTATCGATCCAATTGCCGAATTTCCCCTTCCACAATTACGTTCTGTACTTGTTCCGTGTACTCAAAGTCCTTCAACTCTTAGTTTTAAGTAAACTTTTTAATTAAAAAATTTTTTTGAATTTTTCTTAAAAAGATTCTGGCTAAGTCCTGGAGTTCAAGCACAAATATGCACTTTGGGGACAGATAATGTAGCTCTTTCTTGTGTTTATCTTAATGAAGCTGATGGTAAAAAGGAATTTAATTAATTATAAATTAAATCGGGGATGTGTCAGATTGAGAACAAAGTCGGATCGGGTCAGTACCGCTTTCTGATAAACCTGTGACAGTCCTGCTTCCAATATAATATTGTAAAGCATATATCTATTTAATCCCTAAGGCTGTGCAGTAGGCGGCGGGGTGTAATGGATAACACATCAGTCCGGTCTACTGAAGATGCTGGTTCGCTCCCAGCTGCCGAATAACCTTTTGGACTAGCTAAAGGAGAGAAATAGCTATAACCCAGCTATAGCCAAGCTTGCTCTTTAATGAGAAAAAACGCGAAAAACTCCTCTTTTCAACATTTTATTCTTTTTTAAAAATCGCCATATATTCTACTAATTTTGAATCTAAAAAATAATTTTTCAGTTCCCGGCCCACTCACAGTAGATATTGATACAGCTGACCATCAACCCTTTAGGGTATATTTAAATTTTTGGAAGGATTAAATATTTAAATTTTAAGTTTGCATTTAATGTTCTTCGAGTAGACAGAGAAGCAAATGGGGGAGGGGCTGTAATTGCTTTGGATGAAATTAAATATAATGGTTAGTTACTTAAACTTTTACAAAATTTACAAAACAAACACACAAAAAACAAACAAAAACAAAATTACAAATCCTCATAACAATACAACAATTTCAATCAAATATTTTTATATTTTCTCAATTCTTATTTTTTCTTGCCATCCCCTTTGTCTGTCATTGCAGCAGACCACAGCATTTTTTCTTTTGAGAAAGGCACTTGAATTGTTGAACCAGGACCTCCACCAAGTTGTTGAGGTTTTGGCGCTGATATTTTTGTTGATGTAGTTGCTGCTTTTGGATTTTCTTTAGCTGAAAAATAGAAAATATTTTTGAAACAAAATTTCATAAAATCCAAACTTACGTTTTGGAGGATTTGATGGAGATTGCAAAGTAGGAGGCTTTTGCTGTTTTCCCGGTGGCGGTTGTTTCTTTTGGCCTCCACACGTGACGATACAAACACCGAAGCTTAAAGCGAATGGGAGAAGTAAAAGAAGCCATTCCACCAATAGAAGAGTAGTCAACGATGATCCTTCAAGCATTAACTGACCGAGCATTGTGTCCACAATTTGTTGACAACAAAGGCGAGAATGTGTGCCTGAAAATGTTTTGTGTTTGTAGATTGTTTTGTTGTTTGTTTGTGATTGTTTTTATAATACAATTTTGTTTGTCTCTGGTATCAGACAAAATCTCTTCATTTCTCTTAACAATTACACACTATCTCTCTCAAACATTTCGAATAACTAAAATTAATAATCCATTCATTTTTTAAAAATTATTTTAAGGTTGGCTCTGTCATGAACAAACTCCAACTACTTCTCCTTCACCAATACCTCCATTAGCTTCACTTCTACAATTAAGACCATTACCTACTGCCAATTCTGTCGATGCTTCTTTAGCTTTCCCCAATTCACTGTAAAAGTTTTTTCTGTTTTTAAATTTTAATTAAAAATTTTGTGGACAGAGAATGTGATTTTGAACAGGGAGATATGTGTCCACATTGGATGCATAATAGTTATAGTGATTCTGTAACAGACGATTCTGGGGATGAGGCTGTAGATGAGACAAATAAGTAAAAATAGAAGCAATTTTTGTTAATTTTTTAAATATTTTTTCAGCCAACAACGCTTTCGTCTTGGCCTCGTCCCACGCGGCATTTTGCCTTTACCATTTCCCATAGACGGCCGATTCCGTGGAAAATATTCTGCTGTTGCAGTTCTCGATTTGCGAGCTCAGGAAGAACAATTTGCCATTTTAACTTCACGTCCAATTGATTGTGTGGATGGAGGGCGTGTTTCGGTCCTTTGAGATTTTTATTTTATTTAAAAACAAATTTGGTTCTTCCTTATATTAGAGACTGTAGAGATCGAGCTAGACCTGGACCGAGGTCTGGGTTTTTCCTGTACCCAGAGTCCAGGTCTAGACATTTTTTGACCTTCCTGGGTTTTTCCTGGGCCCGGGGGGTTTTCCTGGACTACAAGCCAGTATACAGCCCATGTCAATAAATCAAACTTCAGAGTCCAGGAACAAGTCCAGGCTTTTCAAAAATCTCGATCTTTAAAGGACTACCGTAAATGCTCGAATAATTACCCTCTCTCACATAATTGCCCCCTCTCAAATAATTACCCCATCTAGCGAGAGGTTGAAACAATAATTACCCAGGGTAATTAATAGAGCATTTACGGTATATAGTAACAGAATTTTCCCACACTTACCGTATTTGCTCTATTAATCCCCCAGTCTTTATTAATCCCCCAGGCTCTATTAATCCCCCACCCTGGGGATGGGTTGAAACAATAATCCCCCTCTTTCTACCCCACTCTAATAATCCCCCAGGCTCTATTAATCCCCCACCCTAGAGATGGGTTGAAACAATAATCCCCCTGGGGGATTACTAGAGCAAATACGGTAATTGTTTCTCTTAAAAAATTTTCTCTTATTTTTTAAAATTAAGATTAGCTATTTTGCCTCTCCTGGTGCTCAATTAAGTATTTGTGCCAATGAACAATGTGTTTATCCAAAAAGAAAACGTTTTGGAAGTCAATCAACTTCTGAAATGTTTTTACAAATTTGAAATATGTTTTAATTTTCCCCTTTTAAAGGTCGGTTGCTCTAAATTCTGCTCGACCTTTCAGAATTAGAATTGTTGCAGAACGTAATCGTTCTTTCCCAATTAATTTAATAAATGGATTTTATGAACCTTTTGTTTTAATTAAAAGAATTGGTTTGATAGAAATAATTTCTTTTAATTTTAATTTAATTAATAGCAATACAGAACAAAGGTTTTTGTCGTTTAAAATCTTCAGAGGAAATTACTTGTAATTTACTTAAATGTTTATTTAATGAAGAAGGAATTTGTCGTTACAAATCTTTGTTTCTTGCTGCCGGAGATGTTCCTTTTGTACATAAAAAAGGAGAAGGCAAATTAACTATATTTAATTTTTTAAAGAGAGATTTAAAAGAATGTTTTGTGGATATTTTTTAAATTAAAAAATTATTATTATATACTTGCTGGGGAAAAATTCATGGGATGGGAGATGATATAGAACCATCATGGAAAGGGCCCAAATCGAAGCACAACCCGCACTTGCAGAAAGAATACATATAGTAAAACAGCTGGCTATAGCTATTTCTCTCCTTTAGCTAGTGCAAAAGGTTAATTGGCGGCTGGGAGCGAACCAGCATCTTCAGTAGACCGGACTGATGTGTTAGCCATTACACCTACTGCACAGCTTTAGGAATTAAACTTTTCAATATCAATAACCCATCATCGGGTTGGATGGTGGCACAGGTCCTTCGGTTTGGGCCCTTTCCATGATGGTTCTATTCCATCTCCTATCCAATGAATTTTTCCACAGCAAGTATATAATAATTATTTTTCGAGATAAATAGAAGAATGGGAAACGTTTGAGGAGGAGAATTTGTTAAAAAAATTTTGGAATTAAAAAAACCAATTTAATAAAAATATTTATGTAATAATTTTTAAATAAATTAGGAATCTCCGCTCATTTTACTTCTGGAATGCGTCGTGCAGTTCTTCGTTCTCCCAATTTCCGAATTTCTTTAAATTCCCAAATAGAAATGCATTTAATTGCTAGTTTATCAACTTTCGGTTCTCGTCTATATATTTGTCCAAACGATCAACAACAACAAACTCAGAGAAAACTTTTGGCAGAAATAGAAACAATGGGGGAAGGAATGTTTGTAGAGGAAGATGATACCCTTAAAGAATTGGGAAATTGTGAACCTTTACTTGGACCGAAAGTTTTTATTTTCTAAAAATATTTTTAAAAAAAATATTTTTTAAAAGGTTGTTAGAAGCAAAATGGAACATTTAATTATTCAATTAGATCCAGAAATTAGACATTTCTCTTTAGTAGCTATTCATGACAAATTTGAACAATTTGGGGATGCACAAATATTAATACATTCTATTAAATTAAACGATCTCAATGGTCAATCAATTTGTTAAAAAATATTTTTTATTTATTTTCATAGAAAGAATCTTAAATTATGTTCATACAAGACTGAATTTATTTTTTGTGAATGTTTTTAAAAACCTTATGCAAAAGCCTCAGGAGATCTATTAAAAGGTGCTATTGTAAAGCATATATCTATTTAACTCCTAAGGCTTTGCGGTAGGCGGCGTGGTGTAATGGATAACACATCAGTCCGGTCTACTAACGATGCTGATTCGCTCCCAGCCATCGATTAACCTTTTGCACTAGCTAAAGGAGAGAAATGGCTATAGCCCCACTTTTTTAATCTACAATAGAATAGAGGATTTCGTCTTTTACGGTATACACATTTCTTTTTAACTAAACCTCGCTTTCCCTAGAAAATTAAAATCACTGTAGTTTTATATTTATTTAGCATAAAGAACAATACATAAATTCAACAAAATATTTATCAACAAGAAAATTACATCCTTTTCTTCCCTCACTTCTAATTTCCTCACTTCTTTTATTGTTTATCACCTATAGTAGTAGTTTGTCAGAGCATCTTCACTAAAAATTAAAAAAAAATAATTAAAAACTACCAAAAAATTTAAAAACCCCCTAACCATTAGAATGGGACTTTTGGACCAAATAAGCTTGTTGAAGTCGCATGACATCCTCCTTTTCATCTCTCATCTTTCTGTATTGAATGTACATGTAGAGAAGAACACCGAAAAGACTGAAAAGTATGAGGAAACATGGAAGGAAAGCGTTCACAAAAAACAACGTAAGCATAAGTTCAGCCGCCATGTTGTCGAGAAAGGTTTTGAAGAACAAGTTTTTTGAAATGAAATTTTAAAGTCCTTTTATAGTACAGTCGGAGCTCCTCCTTTGAGTATACTACATTGGAACTGAAAAAATTGTGCAATAAATCGAGGGAACTAACACTAGATAGGGGGTAAGCTAAAGTGAGGCTATTAGATTTAAAAACTTCTTGTAAGTTTTTAAAGAAAAAATTGTATTTTCCTTTTAAAAATACTGCCGAACCCTATCACATACATATCAATTATATAAAAAATTTTAGTGAAACTATTTTCCGCAGAAATATTTTTAAGATGGGAGTGGATGATAGGTAAGTAACTAAATTAGAGAAAAAATTGTATTTTTAAAAATTTCGAAAATCAGAAAACATTACAAGTCGAAAATAGAAAAATAATCAAAATTCAGAAAAAGCTCTGCTTTATAGTAGAAGCTAAATTTTAATTTCCAACTCAAACCTACGGCTCATTTAGAATAACAACAGAGAATTAATTTTTAAGTAAAAAAACAAAAAAAATTAAAAGTTTTTATACAAAATCAATCTTTTAAAAATCATAAAAATTTTCTCTTTTTTCAAAAAATAATAAAATCTTTTTTCTTTAAAAAATTGTCGGAAGTAAATAAATATTTGGTTAATTTTGGGGTAATATTTTTTAAGTTAATTTTTCCCAAAAATGGAAATCAAAAGTTTTTGGAAAAGCAAATTTAGTTGAAATTGCTGAAGAACAATTATCTTTATAATTATTGTATAGACGATTAAAGAAGTTTAAGCCAATTGGGATTTTACAAAGACGAAAGGAAATTTTGGCAGAAATTATTTGATTACCTAAAAAATAAAAAGGAATTTTTGAAAAAAAATTTATTTTTAATATTCTGGGAACAAAAGATTTCTAAAAAAATTTGGTTGAACCCCAAAATTCCAAAGATATTTTTGAAAAGTAAAAGCCAGGAAATCTTCTGCTTCATTGGTCCCTTGACTCAGCAAGCTCGATTACCTACTGGCATGCCTCAAAGATGTCGAACGAGCACTTTTTCATTTTTTCTAGGGACCAATGGAGCAGAAAATTACCAAAAGCCAAAAAATATTAAGAAAAATTCCAGATCCCTCAAGTTCATAAAAACAGAAATTCTAAAATTTTGGAAAAGTCTGGAACAGGGTTTTCAGTTGACAAGGGAACCATCGTTTACTGTGATTGCGAATTTGATATATTTTTTGGTACCAAGTCATTTTGCAAAAAAAACCCGCACCACTTTATAATAGGAAGTCGATGGTGCTCTATCGAATGGCACCAAAAATATATCAAATTCGCAGTCACAGTAAACGATGGTTCCTTGGTAAACCGAAGAGCCTCCAATAAAACCATTATCAAAAGTCTCCATCCTTATTAATTTATAAAAAATAAAAAAACTACCTTTAAATTTAGCAACCAAAATTACTTGTTGAACAGACAAATTAACATTTTGTTTCTCTTCTTTGTAATTAAATAATTTAATTGGAAATAATTTTTGTATTTTATTTTTAATTTTCTTTTGACGTTTTTCTTCAATTAAAAATTTATTTTCCTCATTTTTCAAAATTTCTTCATTTTCTAAAAAAAAATTTTTAATTAAAAAAAATTTCAAAAACTTTTTTCCCAAGGGCAAATACCAAAATCAGAATTATTTTCATTTAAAATTCTTTTTACAATCGCTGTTGTAATATTTTGAGAAACTTGTTTAATTATTTTTGTTGAATTTATTTTAATCATTTCTCCACCTTAAAAATTGAAAATTTTAATTTTAATCAAATTTAAATAAAAGAGAACACTAAATGTATTTTATTTCGATCCACAGATATCGGGTCAATAAATATACTAATTAGGGTTGGACATCACCAACTAACCGATACCCCAGATTTTCGATTAGACCACCTTTAAAAAGCCCGTTTTCGGTTATGATTTTTGTTAAATACTGGCCTTATTTTGAGGAATTCTTTTATGAAATTATCAATTTTCAAAAATTTCTTGTTTTCGATAACTAAAATTTCAATAGAAAACGGTTAATTTTTGGCAAAAAAAATCAACATTCCGGTTTTTAGAACCGATCGTATCCACTCCAAATATTAATCAATTATTACTTAAACAAAATCATTTACCTTTAAACAAAACAACAGAAGTAATTGGCTGAACAGATAAACTTGTAATTTGTTGATTTTCTTTATAATTAATTGAAAATATTTCTTGATTTTGAATTTCTTTTTGTTTTTCAATTAAAATTTTATTTTCTTCTTTTTTAAGAATACTATCATCACAATTTGGAAAATAATAAAGAAAAGCAGAAAATATCAAAAGAGACACACATAGAAATGACAAAAAATAACTTCCTTTGGAAAAACTGAAAAAATGAAAAAAGAAAAAAAATTTAGAAGAAATTAAGAAACTAGTAAAAGATTTTTCAAAATGTTTGAAGCCCCATTTTTGCCCCTTTTCTGAGAGGCCATGCCCCTTTTTGGGGATAAGTAAAGGCCCACCCTGTACTAGAGAGCGAGATTTTCAAAAACCTTGACCTGATCCTTGAGTCAAGGAAAACAAGGAAAGCTGAAAAATGCTGTGATCTGGAATCTGGATCCGGGAAAAATCAAGGTGTGGATCCAGATCCAGACCGCTCTCTACCCGGTACGAAGGCTTAAGAACAGATTTACAAGATTAAGATTCTTTTGGAACAACAAAATGAATTACAGTGTAAATACAAAAATTTTTCTCAATGGGCATTTTTAGATTTTAGTTAACCCAAAAAGGCAATAAAAGTTTAAAATTTAGAGTAATTAATAATTCAAATACCCACCTAGCAAGTTTTTGTTCCGTTTTAGTAAAAATAGACACATTCCCATTTGATGATAAAGGTGGAAAGGGACGACAAAAACGTGGATTCACATACTCGGTGCTGCCATCCTTTGTGTAAGAAAAAGAATCTGCATAAGAAAAGCCAGCAGTTCGGAATGGACTGAAAATTTAATTTAATTGTTAGAGATAATTATGTAAATTTAAAAAATTTATTTTATTTTTAAAATTCCTCCCTTCCTAATTTTTTGTTATCAAAGCAAAAAATATGCTAAATATAGCACTGGACCCAATTTACAGAAAAACAATTACTTTTCGATAATTTGACTCTTCTCCCTCTCAGATAATTGAGAAGATTCCAATGAACGTCTAGGACCATCATTTGGGTTTAGAGGAGGCATTAGGAACTAAAAATGAATTTAATAAAGTTGATAAAACTTTTAGTGGAAACACAAAATAATGGGAAAAACAAAAAATTCGGCCCCAGAAAACGCCGCGGCAAAAATTACGAATTGCCAAAGATTTAAATTAAACTTTTGAAAACAGACATTTCATTGCCGATGCACGCCAAACCTTTAATAAATACGTTACATGGCGTTGGCGATACCGCTGAATAGTGACCGGGGCCGGACCGAATCCGGCAGGATTTTCCGGAGTCCGAAGATTTTCCGAAGTTCGATTTTGCGATCTCCGGATTTTTTCCAGACCGGATTAATCCGGAAAAATCCAGTCGGATCAGGGACTCTAGTTGCAAATCCGGGTCCGGAAAAATCTATTTTACCGGTCACTACTGCTGAAGGTCACTATTGCTGAATTGGTTGAAAGTGTAACCTGATCGTTTTAACCATTTAGACTCAAAAACTTTTCGTGATCAAAACACCTAGAAATGCTTTCTCTAATTTCATAGAACCACCAATATGCCCTGTTACATTTCGATAATATTCAGAAATTCCACTAATTTAAGCTAATTTATTTTCAACAAGATAATACAAGAAAACAATTAAATTTGGTGTTTTGGCTTCACTCTCTTTTTTAATTTCTTACGCCACAAATTTCTAGGAATATCATTTTTTGAAGGCCCATCGAAATTCACAATTCCTTCCATTTTCATTTTTTCTTTATCATTTTTTCTTCTTTTATCAGTTTTATTTAATTTTTTGCCAGCACGCTTCCCTCTTGGTCTTCTTTTAATTTTTCCGGCGATTTTTGGGGTATTTTGATTGACTTTTGTATTATCTTCTTCTAGATCAGATCCGATACTTTCAATACCATCACATTCGTCATCCGTTGCACTTAGCTAAATTTGTCAAAATTAATTTACTTTAATAAAATCTTCCTTAAGTTATAACGTTCAGTAAACAAGTTTTTCACTAAAAATTTTCACAATTTCATGAATTCATAAACTTTGTTTCCTTCTATAAAAATTCTAACCTGAAATTCAAAATCAGTAATTACACTAGATTCTCCATCATCAAAACCATCATCTTCTGTTTCACCCTCTTTGTTCTCTTCTTTTTTCTTCTTTTCATCATCTCCCTCTTTTTTCTCTCGTTTTGCAAGAATTGCTTTAATTATTTCTTTTTCGCCTGATGGATCTTTCCAATTTATTTCATCATCCTCTTCCTTAACTTCTTCGTCCTTTAATTCAAAAATTTCTTCCTCATCAAGCATTTTTTCATCATCAGGTACACATTCAGAATCAGTCATTGCATCAATTTTCTCATCCTCTTCTACCAAATTTATTGGTCTCTAAAATTGAAATAAAATTTATTTAAACTAAATTTTAAAACTTTCAACCTCATCCGCCATTTGTCTGCCAATTTCTGAAGGAGTTACACTTTGTGATCTGCACCCAGGAGGAAGCACGTAATGTGGTATATTACCTCTTTGATAATCATTTAGGACTTGACGCGCAACCGTGTTTAAATCTGGCTCTCCACCTTTTAATAGACGACCGGTAGCAAATGCAATCTAAAAATAATTTTAAAAACAGAAATTAAAGTATTTGTATTACCCTGCTTAAAAATTCTTCAGAATTTGTTAAGAACGTCCTCTTTCCCTTTTCTTCATTCCTTTCTTCTTCTTTGTTGAAAATATGTGCATAATGTTGCAATAAATGTTCAGGCTGAACTCTATCAAGCACTGCAGCGATATGATTTTCTGGATCAGGAACATTTTCTACTCGAACAACCCCCTTTAACACCAAATCTGTTTCACTATCACCATGTGGAGGGTACACAACACCTGGACAGTCAATTAAATAAATTCCTTTCATCATCGTCACGTATTGCCAAACTTTTGTTTCCCCAGCGAGCGGTGCTGTTTTACAAACCTTTAAAATAAATTAATTAAAGCAAGTTCTTTAAAAAAATTTTTTAACTTTTTTATTTCGAAGAGTATTAACAACTGAAGACTTTCCAACATTTGGATAACCAATTAAGCCAATACTAATTTGCTTACGTTCTTTTCGATGTAATTTATAAAATTGTCTGAAATTTAAAAAATAATTAATTATTTGACAACAATTTATTGGAAATAACCTCAACAAATTGATTAAAGAACCTTTGCCAAAACTATGTTGAATGGAAGCATGGAAAGCAATTGTTGGCATTTCTTTGGATAAAATTTGCATCCATTTCTTCTTAAAATGTAGAAATATAAGTCTTTAATGGGAAAAAGACACAAACCGTCACCCAGTTAGGCACCAAATCAACTTTATTTAAAACAAGAACCAAATGTTTGTGAGGCTTCTCTTTTGAAAGAAATTGTTCAACTTGGCGACATCGTGTTCCTATAGTGCTTTTAAAATTTTAATTTCTGTGGTCCTATAAAAATTATGAGCAGATGGGAAAATCTAGCTGGGGATGTGTTAAGGTATAAAATACATTGTCAGTCCCTAAGATTCTTAAATTTTAAGAGATAAAAATTGAACCAACCCATTGGATCACGAGCATCCAGAACTTCTAAAAGAACGTCTGACGAGTCAATCACCTTCAAAAAAATTTGATGAACTTTATTCAATTTTTAAACAAAACCTTATAAAGTTCACTCCAAACGCGAGCACTCTGTCCAGCTCTGAAAAGAGGGGTTGGATTTTCTGTTCGTTCCTCCAATGCTTTTGCTTGATTTACAACCAAATATCTATCATTTTCCTCCAAATAATCACCACTTTTAAGTTCAGCTTCTTCTCGAAATGCCTAAAATAAATAAAATTAATGAAACGAATTATTTTTTACCTCAAGATTGTCAACATTTAAAGTAGCTCTTTTTCTTTGTGCTTTCTTTCCGAAAGTATGTTCAAAACTTTGAGTGTCGAGGATGTGAACTCGTTGTTGCTTAAATTATAGTAGTTTTTTCTAATTTTTTAATCTTTAAATTATAAAACCTTAGCTTTTTCTTGTAACAAAGAAATTGGTGCCCGCGTTTGTCTCATCACAACTTGAAAAGGATCGAAAAGTACTTTACCCATTTCTTCTTGAAATTGTTGCAGCTGGTCCTGCCCAACTACACGAGTATTACCTGAGGAATGAATTTTTCAAAGTTTGTTTCCAAGAACTTAAAAAATTTACCAAACCAACGCCGATGAGGTTCAACACGAGCAACTGTTCCCGATTTTAAAGTTCCTTGAAAGGGTGCTTCTTTGGTTATTTTACCCTGCGCATTTCTAAAAATATAACACTATTCTTGAATTATTAGAACTTGTCTCACCTTTTCGGTTTGAAGTTTTTATACATACGAAGTCGATTAATGGTAGATTTTGAACGCATAGTTGGACCACTACCAGTTGTCTTTCCCGTTACTTTCCTCTCTGAATTTAATTTTTAGATAACTAACTTTAAGATAAAATTTAACCTGGGTTAAGGCTGTGATTTGAACGAAGCTTTTTTCCATCCCCACCTCCTTTTTTACGCTTAAATTTTGAATTTGAGTCATCCTTTTTTGTTTTGCTCATGATTACTATCAAATCTTATAAAAAATTTTGGAATAAATAATAAAATAAAAAATAAATAAGGAAATAAACAATCATTTCTAAAGACAATTTAAAAAGTAAAAAAACTTTTTATCACAAAAATATAAATTTATAAAAAATATTTAGAAAAAATAAATTTAAACATTGCTATCTTCATTGTCGTCATCAAAGGGATTATTTGACTTTACTGGAGCATTTGCAGTAGGTTGTATATTAAAGGCACCACTAGCAATATATTCTGAGATTAAAGCCATTGCATCTGGACAGTTTTCTAACTGAAAATTGAATGAAAAAATTTAAGAATAAATTGAGCCAGATTTTAATTTCAATTGTATTTTTTTTAATTTTAGAGTTTTCATCATTTATTTAAAAACTAACAAAATATAAAAATTAACCTCGTTTTTAAATTGTTGATAAACTAATTGTTTTGGCTGTTTGACAGTAGATGCACCTTGTTCTTTTGTGTTTTTTCTAGCAGAAACGGTACAAGCTGGGCACTGATCTGGTGAATTACCACTATAAGATTCAAAACAATTTGCATGATAGGAATGTCGACAAAGAAAGTGAATAGACGGCACTTGGAGGGGATTATTACAAACTGCACATTTACTTACTTGGAAAACTTGAACACTAAAAATTTAAAAATTTTTTTTAATAAAGAATTGGTTTTAATTCTCTTACTTATTCTCTAAATCATCAATTTCAGCATTCATTCCTTCCAAACGTTTTTGTTGTTCAGACAATTTATTTTCTGATGTTTTAATCGCAGCATTTTGTCTTTCAAGCCAAGCAACTATATAGTCACGAATATCTCCAACTTGAAGTGAATCATCCTTAGAAAGCATTTCAAGTACAACCAATGGATGAAGTAAATCAGATTGAGAAATTCTAAATAAATTGAGAAAAATAAAACGATTCAAATTTTTTAGATCCGGATATTTTTCGGGCATTTCTGGATTAAGGTCAAAAATCTTTCCCCCAAATCTGTAATCAAATCTGAGATTTTGCAAAATATACCTATTCTATTTATTCTTAAATCAAAATTTTCTAACCTTTTCAATAACGCAATCAAATCATCCTTTTTTGTTTTATTTGGACGAGCACAAACATGGCCGATTAAATCAATCCACATTTCTCGTAATGCTTTTTCTCCGCAAAGTTCAATAACCTCAATAATATTGCCCTCGTTAAGTAAATAACGTAATAAATCCTCTTTCCTTTAAGAAAAATTATTACATTTTTTAAGCTTTTTCTTAAAATACCTATTTTGCAAGCGGAGAATATGCATAACAAGAGGAGGGCATTTATAACGCTTTTCCAAAAGCAAAGCTTGTTCAGAATTGTCAGGTCCTATTAATTGTAATATCTCATCAACATCTTCTTTTGAATAATCCTGAATTAAAAAATAAATAAAAAGGAGGAAATCATTCAGTTTTGTACCCCATTGTATATCAAGCTTATAAATTCATTCCTAAATTTTTTAAGCGGAGAACTCTTAAAAATTAATTTTTAATATAGACTACCTCTCCACTTTCAAAACGCTTTAAACGTTGCTCTAGTAAAGCGTTGCGAAGGTGTACATCTTGTAATTGACCAGAAATGTTTAATTCAGTAAATATCTCTTCCATTCTTGATGGTCTACTCATTAACATTTTTACAAGTTGGCTATGATTTGCCTCTTAAATTTATTAAATTATTTTTGATAAAATTCTAGAGTACCTTTCGCAGCAATTAATTTTCTAATTATTTTAATTGTCTCATCTTCAATATTTTCCAACAATAAAGATCCATATAATTGAAGAAAATTACAGGCACTAGAAGCTGGCAATTTTTCTATAAAACGTAATGCTTCCGTAAATTCTTTCGTATCTTGAGTTAAAATGTCAATAAAAATATCAGGTTTTTGACATTTTAATGCCAATTTAGCAGCAACACGATAAAGTTGGGCAGAACGGAGAAGCTTTAAAAATATTAAAAAAATATTTTTAAATTAAAACTTTAATTGCTGCATCTGCATCGAAACCTTCCTTTACTAAATAATGCTCATTTTGATCAATAAATTGATTTAATTTTTGGACAGAATTAAGTTTAACATAAGCACTAATTAAAAGTGTTGTGTGTTCCCCGATAGCCAAAGATTGGCTATGTAAAGTTTCCAAATAAAAACAAAGCTGAGATATTCTTGTTCCATCGAGAAACTGAAAGAAAAAGAAAAATTTAAAAAAAATGTTAAAAAGCAAATACTTTTTTAATAATTTTAGATGGCTCTACATGTCCAATCGTTTCTGTGTATTGTTTCATTGCATTATCAAAGTCACCCTTGCTTAAATAATTTTTGTAAAAATGCAGGCTAACCAATAAACTCACGTATATAAGTAATCTCCATATTTCATATAAATACTCTTGCACTGATCAACTGTAGTAAACCGACTTTGTCGTACAATGCTAAATTTTAATTTTATTAAAATGTTTAAAGAGAATTGGTGGGAAGAAAGATAGAGGTCCTCGAAGAAAAAATAGGTAAAATTAACATAGAACCTAATTGCCAAATCAAATAAATTCTTTTTTAACAGAATTTCCAATTTTGTGTTCAAGTTTTCCTCAACTAATTTACACAAAACTCCTTCAGAATTCAATAAATAAATGTCGGTGTCCAACAAAAATAGATGGCAAGGGGAAGGCATTGAACAAAAGAAAGCAATATAACGTTGCTCAATATCATAAATATTTAATAAAGTCATTTTTGAATTTCCTTTAGATCTGAAAATTTGATTTAAAAAATATTTGCAAGTATAATTATATGACAAACTGGATATGTGCATCTTGTTCAGTAAGTAATGCAACAAGTCCTTCACGTTGTAAAAGTTGAATTTTATCTTTACCTCGGCTTAATGCATGACATCTTCCATTTTCGGCACCCATTTCTAAACAATCTTCCAAATTGTAAAAATAGACCATCTTAAATAAATTTCAAAAGTTGGTAAATATAAAAATAACAAAATTTTGAATCTAAAGGGGAAGATAAGTTAATAAAAGATATCTAAGTTACTTATTTTAATCAATTTATCCAAAAAAATTTGAAAATTAATTCAAAAATTGAAGTGGGATATAATGTCTCGATTTATATTCAAGGCAAATTAAGGAAAATAAAAAATAGATCACCAACCCCCCAAATTAAATTAAACCAAAATTCCAATCAAGTACAACTGAAAAATAATTTAAAAAACCTACATCTCTATTCGAAACAAGCAATTGATTATTTGAAGGAGAAAAGAACCAACAATTTCGTTCACAGCCTTCAGCATCGTGAATGGCCTAAAATTTTTATTAAATTTAGTTAAAATTTAAAAACTCTACTGTTTGAAGTAAATTCCCATCAATTCCCAAAATATACGAATTTAAAGACTTCTCAGTTATACACGTAATGATTGTACGATCTCTAATTGATGCTACAGCTATTCCAACTAGATGGCCACTTTTTAAAATATTTGATCCATCTCGAAGTGAACGAAATTTTGGTCGGTCTTTCTGCCAATCACCAAAAGCATAAAAAAGGGAAGAATTTGAGAGACCTTTAAATTTGAAAGAAAATTTTAGAAAAAATTTTTAAATTACCAACAACCAAAATTGATAAATTTTGACTAACAGCTACAACGGAAGCTTTGCTTGCATCTACTTTCCTCCCCAAATTCAAAGGAAAAGTATGTTTACATTTAGGGGCAACAGTTTCATTCCATTGACTTAAATCCCAAATCTTCAAAACTGGCATTCCTTGTGAAGAACTTGAAGTTGGAGAAAATGTGGAAAGATCGTCTGCATCATCCTATTTAAAAATATTTTTTTATCTAAAAATAAAATTTTCAATTACTCCAATAGCAACAAGTAAATTCTTTGCCAATGCAAAATGAATAAGTCGTTGTTTAAAAACTTTGAAAAATCGAATGTCCAAACTTTTTTCCAATTGAAATACAGCTCCTTTTGGCTCGCCAAAAATAACATAACCATTTCCTGGTGCCCAACAAAGAATATCAATTCCCTAGACAAATTTAAAATATAATAATGGTAAAAAAGGAAAAAACTTGAAGAAATGTAGCTTTTTTAGATGGGTCACTGGGATCACGAGCAGGTGTCAACGTGAAGAAATTGAAGGTTCGCCAACCAAGTTCCGCAAGTGATTGAGACATTGATTACTCAAACAATAAATATTAAAATATCTGTATGTAGACATTTTATAAGTTAAAATATTGATAATAAAAGATTGATAAAAAACAACCAATTACTAAGAGATTCCAAATAAAAATTTTATTGAAAGTTCAATTTAATAAATAGTGGAGCAAAAAATAAAAAGTAGCAGTTATATAAATATATTTAACGTTCAATCCCCGGGGCAGGGAATTACCCACATTTTGACCATAATTTTCTTCGGAACCCACAAAATTTTCGCCTGCGGCGTTAATATGAGGAAGTCCTGATATAATAGGTGAAGCCCCATCCTATCCTAAATTGTTCAATTCACTCAACAACTAATTCCTAAAATTAAAAAAACATCAAAATCAAAAAGGATTAGAAAACATTTTTCCGGATTTTAAATTGTATGAACCCTACCAATATAGGTTAAGCACCCACTCATACTAAAAAAGAATAATTTCAGAATTTTTTTAAAAATTTATAAATTTACACCCTTCAACCCGAAAAAATAAATAATAAATTCCCTCTCAATTCCCATAATTTTATACTGGAAATTTGAATTTATTTATGAAAAATGATTAAAAATACCTTTAGCAAATTGTCCAATGATTTTTCATAGGACGCTTCTCCTAACATTTTATCGAGTTTACTATAATTTTTTGCACAGCAGAGCACTTTAAGTAGTCCTCTTACAAATCCTTTTTGGAAAGTTGATAAATTGCTGACGTGAAAATATAGAAGGCCACGGATAAGAGGTACATCCTGATGCGAACTTTGCAACATTTCAAGATCGGAAAATATCCAAAATGTTGCAAAGTTCGCCGATATTTTCCGATCTTTAAATGTTGCAAAGTTCGCATCAGGATGTACCTCTTATCCGTGGCCTTCTATATTTTCACGTCAGCAATTTATTAACTTTCCAAAAAGGGTTTGTAAGAGGACTACTTAAAGTGCTCTGCTGTGCAAAAAATTATAGTAAACTCGATAAAATGTTGGGAGAAGCGTCCTATGAAAAATCATTGGACAATTTGCTAAAGGTATTTTTAATCATTTTTCATAAATAAATTCAAATTTCCAGTATAAAATTATGAGAATTGAGAGGGAATTTATTATTTATTTTTTCGGGTTGAAGGGTGTAAATTTATAAATTTTTAAAAAAAATTCTGAAATTATTCTTTTTAAGTATGAGTGGGTGCTTAAAATATATTGGTAGGGTTCATGCAATTTAAAATCCGGAAATGTTTTCTAATCCTTTTTGATTTTAATGTTTCTTTTTTAATTTTAGGAATTAGTTGCTGAGGGAATTAGTAAATTTAGTAAATAGGATCAAATCCAATCTAGGGTCGGTCTGGGCTTCACCTTTCAGGGCTTCCTCTTATTAACGCCGCCGGCGAAAATTTTGTGGGTTACGAAGAAAATTATGGTCAAAATGTGGGTAATTCCCTGCCCCGAGGAACGGGGATCGAACGTTAAATATGTATAAATTATAACAAAAATGAAAGAAACAAAAGATAAAATAAACACACAAATAATATAATTAATGTTTATAACCGTGTTAAACTTTCTTCTTCATTTTCAACAGCGGATAAATTGTTTTTTCTAGGCCAGAATACTCCCAACTTGGTTAATGATGAAGAGACACCAGCACTTAAGGCAGAATTTCCAGAGTTTTGAACGCCAAGCAGACGAGTGGCACTCCTAATATTAAAAATTATTCCAAAAAATTTAGAGGATCAGAAAATTACCTTGTTTTTTGTTGTTGCCCAGAGGTTACAAATATCTCAGAACTGGAAACTGCTGCTGCACGCCACTTCATTCTTCGCCTTTTGTAATATAATTCACATAGTACAAGGCAGCAAACGATGCAGAAAAAGATCAAAATAATCACGATGATCAACAGTTGAAGATCCAAATTATGTAGCATTGCAAAATTGCATCGGCCGATTGTTGACGATAAGAAGAGAAAGGTTGAAGCACAAAATCAAAAGATTGAAGTTGTGTAGAAGTTTCAGCATTCGTTTTTATAGTGGAAATTATCTAGTAAAATAAAATTAATAACCCATAGATAAAAATATTTACAAAATAAAACAAGTGCCATTTTGTCTCAATGCCCAATTGTTTACTGTCCATTTGTCGTACAACATCGGTAGACCGTTCGACATCGTCTTTGCGTTTATTTTGGTGGCCGACTTTTCGTCAGTAGAATTTCCGTCAACGGACTTTTCGTCAACGTACTTTTCGTCAATGAATTTGAAAAAAATTCGGTGTTTATTTTTCCGTGTTTATTGTTAACTGATTTTTTTGATTAACTTGTGATTGTTTTTCTTTTTCAGGATTTAATTTTTGTAAAATGTCTACATCACTTTACAATTTCAAAAAGATTACAGTTGTTCCAACATCTGTGGTTTGTTTTTATTTTTATTTTAATTAAATTTAATAATTAAATTTAGAATTTGAAAGATGTTGTTCTTTCAAAAACTCAACGTAAAACTCCAACAGTTGTTCGAAGACATTGGCAGATTAGCAGAATAAGGGCTTTTTATGCTAGAAAAGTTAAATTTCTTCAACAGACACTTCATGATAAATTAACTATGATTTTGACGGAATTCCCGAAAATGGAAGATGTTCATCCATTTTATGCTGATTTAATGAATATTCTTTATGATAGAGATCACTACAAAATAGCTTTGGGTCAAATGAATACAGCAAGGCATTTAATTGATGGAGTTGCCAAAGAATATGTTAGATTGCTAAAATATGCTGATTCTCTTTATCGATGTAAGACGCTTAAAAGAGCTGCTCTTGGACGGATGGTTAAGATTCTGAGTAGACAGAAATCAAGTTTTGAATATTTGGAGCAAGTTCGTCAGCATTTAAGTCGTTTGCCCAGCATTGATCCAAATACGAGGTTTTTATTTTTAAAACTAGATAGGGGATCGAGTCTCTTATCTAGTTCTAATATCATGTTTTTTCAGAACATTGATTCTTTGTGGTTTTCCAAATGTTGGCAAATCTTCATTTATTAATAAAGTTACTCGTGCCGATGTTGAAGTACAGCCATATGCTTTCACTACCAAGTCTCTATATGTTGGTCATATGGATTATCGTTATTTGCGGTGGCAGGTATTTTCTTAACTTTTTGTAAATTTTATTCTACTATTTTGAGGTAATTGACACGCCAGGTATTTTGGACCACCCGCTTGAGCAGAGAAATACAATTGAAATGCAAGCGGTTACAGCTCTTGGACATTTAAAAGCTTCTATTCTTTATATAATGGATATCAGTGAACTTTGTGACCATTCAATTGGTAATTTTTTTCTAAATTTTACTTCCTTCGAACTTCTTTGCTTGTCATTTTATTGAGACAAAAAAATCACATAATTCCCTTTTAATTTTAAAAAAACATTAAATTTTTAACCGTTTTAGTATTTTTGTTCTAATACTGTCTATCATCCTTATATATTTTTGTAATTTTTAGAACAACAAATAAAACTGTTTGAGAGTATTCAGCCTCTATTTGCTAATAAGCCTGTTTTTGTTGGACTTAATAAAATTGATGTTCTTCGTCGAAAAGATTTGCCTGCTGAAACGGAAGCACTTTTAAAGAAATTTGAGAGTGACAACATTCCAATTGTTGAATTGAGCACATTAACTGAAGAGGGTGTTATTGAATTACGAGACAAGGTATATTTTTTGAAGTTTTGAATTATCCGGGTTTTAAAAGCGGGTTACTCTTCGACCTAGGCTCCTTTACTCTTTTCTCAAGTTCTAGTTTATCCAGATAGGAAGCAAGTTTGTATAAATTTTCCAAATTTTAGGCTTGTGATGCTTTATTAGCCCAGCGTATTGAAAGAAAACTTCAAGCCAAAGGTAAAGAAGTAAATGGTGATGGGCATGTTCTCGGCCGTTTATTTGTTGCATATCCAGAGCCTCGTGATAACAAAAATCGTGCACCATTTATTCCTGAAGGGGTTTTGAAGAAGCGAGCAGCAATGGATTTAGTAGAAGATGCAATGGACGAAGAAAAACCAAAGCGAAAATTGGAAAGGGAATTAGAGTTGGAACAAGGAAGAAATTATAAATTAGATTTAAAAAAGCATTATTTGTTGAAAAATGAAGACGAAAAATATGACAAAATTCCAGAGATTTGGGAGGGACACAACATTGCTGATTTTATTGATCCACAAGTTGTTGAGGTTTTTTAATACTTTAATAAAATAAAAATGTTTGGGGTTTATTGGCTTTGTTAGGCCCAAAAAAATTTTTTTATTCACTACCCTTATTAAAATGCAATAAATAATTGAATTTTTAATTTGATCTCATAATTTAAGCAATTTTCATTTTTAGAAACTCAAAAAACTTTTGGAAGAAGAAAAACGTCGTGAACAAGCAGGATTTTATGATGCTGATATGGATGAAGATGATGATGAAACAAAACGTTTACTTTCCTTGGCTGAACAAATAACAGAAAAAGAAAAACTTCGTCGAATGGAATCACAATTTAATAAAGGTGTTAATCAGCCAAAGATTCCAAGAACCGCTGGAAGAAAGCGTGAAAGAAGTATGTCTAGATTGGAAAAAGAACTGGGTGATTTGGGTGTTAATATTGATTCAAAAAGAATGAAGAATTTGAATACTGAACAACAAAGAGAGCATGTTGGAGGAAAGAAAATTCGCGTTGGGAGATCTCCTTCTGTTCCTGTACCTGAACGAACGCCAAGAGATGTTAAGGGACTTCCAGATAGAAAGGTTTGAAGAATTTTTGAAAAAGATTTTTAATGAAAATATTTTTTAAGATTCGAATTAAAGCAAGGAAATTGGCAAGAGGTGGACTTAAAAAACTTGGTAGAGCAGCAAGAAAAGGAGAAGGGGATCGTCATGTTTATGATCTTAAGCCGAAGCATTTGTTTAGTGGAAAGAGAAGTACTGGAAAGACAGACAGACGTTGATTTTATTTTTAGTATGAAAAGGATTCTTTGTTATATAATTTAAATTTGTTGATCATAAATGAAAATTTATTAAGAATAATTGGATTTTTTGATCTGATACTTAGATTCAGTTTATATATCTTAATTTCCCAAAGCTGATTTTTTTTTCGTTTTTATATTTTTAAGTTTTTAGGTAGACTGGCTTGGATGTACTCATTTTAAGCATAGAAAATTCTTGTTTGACAGCTTATTTATTTTCCCTTCATTTTTTAAAAAGTATTCTTCAAGATGAAATTAAAACGTTCTAAAACAAATAATTCAACATTAAATTCAAGCAAAGCATCTAATTTGAAAAAATCAGGCAATGAAGATTCAGTCAGTTCTAAAAGTACCCAAAAAGATAAACCTGCATTGCCAAAAAAATTAACAAAAGATGCTATACAAAAACCAACTATCGATGTCAGTTCGGTTACTTCTGTGGCAAAAAAGAGGAAACGGCCATGGAGACAAGCAGTCCGTCGCAAGGCAAAACGAGAAGAATTAGGAGAACAAGTGTCTAAACTTTCTGTTGATGATACTTTAGAACAAGAAGGTTTGGAATAATTTAGTGAATTTGGTTAGGGATGGAGTGGGGTTGGTTCTAACTCGCAAGGACGAAATGGCGTTTAAGTGTAGTAAATAGTTTTGCAGACAAATGTTTTTATCTGTTTTTAAAAATTCAGTTTTCTCAATCACCTCTAATTTTTTTAGATTTTTCTGAAGGCAATTCTCAATCAGAAGAACCATCACAACCAAGAAAGAAGAATAAAAGAAGTCGAAAAAAACGACTTAGAGACAAGAACAGAATTCTCGCAAAATGTTTCGATTCAAATAACAATAACGAACAGGAAGCGAAAGAAGAATTGCAACCCTCTAAAAGTCCAGATTCTCGTTTGGATGCTGCTCGCTTTCGTTATGTCAATGAACAGCTTTATACACATCCTTCAACAAGTGCTGTTCAACTCTTTAAAGAAGATCCGAATGCATTTGAAGCTTATCATAGAGGATATAAACAGCAGGTTATTAAAGAGTTTAGGGAATAATTGTAAGGTTCAAGGGCGTTGCTAGGGGGTCGATTTCAGAGGTTAACATCAATTTTTTGAGCCGTACTTTGTTCAGCGCTGCATGCGAAAATTTTTTGAATTTGGACGGTCATAGTCGAAAAAATTTCACTTTTATGCTCAATCCCTCATCAAATTTTTCCCCTTTCCTCATTTCGTGGAGGGGGAGGGCTTTAGCCCCAGAAGCTCCTATGGCTACGCCCTTGGTAAGGTTGATTCGATCAGATATTAAGTTCAATGTAAAAATGACTTTAAATTTAGCTAAAAAAGTGGCCGTTCAATCCATTAAACTCAATACTTCTCGACCTTTCTTCACTCCCTCCTGGCAGTGTTATTGCTGATTTGGGATGTGGTGAGGCAGAATTAGCAGAACGTTTAGGTTCAAAATATAAGGTGCATTCTTTTGATTTGGTTTCTTTAAATGAAAGAGTCGTTGTTGCTGATATGGCAAAAATTCCTTTGGCTAGGGAATCTGTTGATGTTTGCGTTTATTGTTTGTCTTTAATGGGAACAAATTTGGCTCATTTTTTTCGTGAAGCACACAGAGTTTTAAAAATGAAGTGAGTGATTTGTACATATGTATTTTTCAAATAAATCATAAAATTTTCAGTGGAAAAGTGAAAATTGTTGAAGTTACTAGCCGATTCAAAAATATTAAAAAATTCATTGATGCACTTGGAAAAATGGGGTTTCAATTAAAGAGAAAGGTAATTTTTACAATTTTAGAATTTTATTGAAATTAAACACATTTGCAGAAAGAATTAGACGGTAAATACTTTACTGCATTAACTCTTCAAAAGATTGGCAGATTTGTGAATAAACGACCGTTAGGTCTTCAATTAGATCCGTGCCTTTATAAGAAACGTTAATTTTGAGAAAAACTAATTTTGAGTAGAGATTTTATTTTAAATGTTATTTATGAACATTTTCATTGTTTATTAATAAATGGTTGTTGCAGACAAAATGTTTTAATACTGGGAGTAAAAAAGATAATCCCGCTATATAATGCAAGGATTAACGGGACTCCGCTCTAGAAAGTTTTCTAAAAAGGTTTTTCAATTTCTGGGACCAGACTTGAGATTATATCGAGATTTCAATTATCTTTGAAAAATTCCGTACACTCATGGGATTTTGTTAAACAAGTAGACAACTATATAGTAGTGAAAAAAATCACACCCTTATCCACTTATCCCACTAGATTTTTTGCCCTTTCGGGCGTCCAAAAATTGCACAAGGCACTGCTTTCGCAGGCCAAGGCGGGCAATTGGTATAAGTTTTCAATCAGCAATAACAGCTCCTCGGCTAGGCCTCATTGGACGCTGTACTGCCCGAGCGCAAGGCTAAAGAGTTTATGTTATGTCAAAATAAAATTGTTTTTAATTTTAAATATTTTCACTGGGTTGTGCGCAGACTTTTTAAAAATAGAACTAAGACACACTATTTCTTTTTCTGTATTTCTCTACTTTGTTTATTCAATACACTTTACTGCATTAATTTTTTTCTCTGAACGTTGTATTTTTCTTCCCTCATCTTCTCTAGAGAGATTCTACAAAAGTATTCGGACAAAATACCACACTGACAAAATGCAAATAACACTTTTACCTCATAACAGAAGGTCGTTATTATTTTCATCATTTGCTTTTATTTTTTAATTTTTTTACCTCTTTTAAGAATTACTATTTAATTTAATACTAATTAATGGACATTGACGAAGAAGAAGCAGTTTGGGATGTTGTTCGTGACCGAATTAATGTTGATATAGAATCTGGCGAATTTACAGCTTTGAGCAAGGCATTATTTAACTACCTCTCCTTTATATAAATTCAAATACATTTTCAGACTAATTTTTCCAATTTTTCTTCTACAGCTTCTACTTCCTTTAACACTTTGGAATTTGATGAGCAATCTGGATCTTCATCACAAAAACCGAAAAAAGGACGGCAGGTTGGGCGGAAACAAGTCGGAGTGAATGCGTATAATTAAATTTTATTTTTTATTTTTATCAAAAATCATTTTTGTAGAACACTTGATAGTTTATTGGGCCAGGCAAATTTAGAACAGGCTCGTGGTCGAACAAAACAAGCAATGTCTTATCTTTTTGAGGTAACTAAAAATTCTTTTAGTTAATTATTTAATTAAATAGGCAATACGTATAGCTCCATATCATGTCCAAACTTACAAGGAAATTGCTGATATTTTTGCTGAACAAAATCAACCTGAAAAAAGTTTCGAATTTAAACTATTAGCGGCATTATTAACCGACAAAACAACAGCTGTAGAATGGGATGATATTGCAGAATTATCACGTTCATTTAATAGACTTGAGTTGGCTATTGCTTGTTTAGCTAAAGGTTTATATTTTTTACAGGGCTTTTATTCGCTATTTATGTTAACCAGAAAACCAGAATTATTTTAGGAAAAATTAATTTTTTGGCTTTCTTTTCTTGACCAGCATATTTTGGTGTGCGGACATATCTGGATTGGTGTGACAAAAATAATTTATTGCGTGTTTACATTTGTTCTAAAACATAAAAAAACCTTTCTTCAATAGGACAATATATTACTCAAGACCCAGTGGCCGTAGGTCCCGAAATCAGTAGGGTAACTGTTTGTACATTGAAATATCCCGATGCGTCCGTTCCGATATGTCCGCATGCCCATATTCTTCATTCCAAATATTTTTTTTGATTTTTTAGCAATTAAAAAAGACCAAGGAAATTGGCTTTATTATGAGAAAAGGATTCAAATACTTGATTCAATTGGGGATATTGAATTGGCAATGAAAACAAGACTTCAAGCAGCACAGTCTATTAATTGTCAAAATTCTCAAATTAATTTTGCTTGGATTGATAATCTTATTAAAACAGTTTTTAATTTAAAATTATTTTTTAAATTTACTTTTAAGGCTGCTGACTATTTTTGCACGTTAAAAGATGAGGAGAAGGCAACAGAAGCATTGGAAACTTTTATTCTCCGGAGTAGAGAATTTGGTCGTTCTATAGATTTTGAACATTTGGCTTTATTGGGGTTTATTTTGAATTGATTTTTTTGATTTTTAAATAAATTTATTGTTAGAATGTGGATGAATAATGAACGTTTTGAGGATTCTGCAAAGTCTATACTTGCTCTTCACCAAAATTTAATTCAAGCTATTGGTGAAAATAATTCTCCAGCAATTGATGTATGTATTTATATTTTTTTGATAGAATTATGAATTGTAATATCTAAACTTTGAAATGATTCACTCTCATAGTTGTGAAAAAGAAATGAGAGTGAGATGGGTACACTCCAACTTATTGCGAGCCCAACTTACCGCAGAGCTATAACTTCGTTTAAAATGGTGTCCCGGATTCGACAATTCTGAACGAAGTTATAGCTCTGCGTTAAGTTCGTCTACTCCCGAGGGAGCTATCGTACCAGTGTCAAAATATTAACTCTTAACTATAACTGCATAATATTTCTTAATTTCGATTACTCAGTATTTGCGGACGGACTTTTTACCACAAATAAATTTATTTTCGAAAAATAATTTAACTATCAAATTTTTATTTTCCTTTAAATTTTTTTTTGAAAATTATATTTAACTATTTACAAAATTTTTAGATAAAAATAACAAATGCTGGTTATATGCTTGAACCATTCCCTCCTGTTGGTAATATTCGTTGGCGTATAGATCCAGCTTTATCAAATATATTCATTACTCATCTAATTATTTGTTTTATTCATTTAAATCTCTTCCATTTTAATTCTGATTTAATTGATTTACTTTTGGTACGACCATTTGGACAGAATGAAGATAATGCTTATTTAGAAATTGCAAGGTCATTACATGCTGTTGATCAAGTTGGAATGGCTGTTGGATTTATTGATAAACTTTGGAATAAAAAACCTGAATTTAAAGAGAATGCTGATGCTTGGTTTTTATTTGGTTATTTTCAACAGGTTTATTTTTTATTTTTTCTGGTTTAAGGCTAATTTTTCTGTCCATATTAGAGTTTGAACCCGGGCCGGGACCGGGTTTTCTGGGCTCGGTAGCCCGGAAACCGGGTATTTTGATAAAATCCGGTTTTTCCGGGTTTTCTAGGTTTTTAGGCCGGAAGCCCGGGTCGGATTGGAAGAAAAAAACCCGGATACCGGGCCCGGCAAAGTGAAAAGTTCGAACTCTAGTCCATATTATGTTTTAAATTGGACTAATAAAAAAAGTATTTTCATTTTATGCCTATTTTATGCCTTTATGTCTATTTTGTGTAAAAATTAGATTGGTTAGGGGTTCTTTTTGATTGGTTCGGGGTTCTTTTTTATTTTAATAAAAAATTATATCTGTTTTTAATATTTAGTTGTTAGATAATTTTGAAGATGCAAAGAATGCTTATGAGAAAGTTATAATTTTACAACCTGGACATATTGATGCTTGTATAAATTTATCAACAATACTTCAACAAATGGGACAGAGTGATCTGGCATTGGAGACGCTGAAAGATTTAAATTTGGATTCTTGTTCTCAACTTCCAGTAATTATATATTTTTTTAATAAAATCTGGGCGTTGAATGTTAGGTATATTTTTGTAAGCGGAAGTAGTTTTGTTTATTTGTTTAGGGGTTTGTTAAAATAAGGGAATCTGAAAAATAACTATAATTTAAATTAAAAAAAAAGTTATTTTAAATTTAGGAAGAGCGTTTATTAATTAGGCAAGCAGAAGTACTTTTAGCACAAAATAAAACACTTCAATATATTACTACACTTCGACTTTTACTTGTTCCACATTTTTATGATGTTCATTTATCTGGTGATGAATTAATAAAGAAAGGAAGAAGAAAAACTGGTTAAAATTAAAAATATATTTGAATGAATAATTTTATTTTTTTAGTTAAAATTCTACATATGAGTTTAACTAGATGTGCTATGGATACAATTAGAGGAAGTCCTTTAGAGAGAATGGTTAAAAGACTGGGCGCTATTGCTATTGCAAATCATAGACCAATGGATAATTTGGGCCCTCATGAGGTTAAAACTTTTTCTTGATATAATTAGTTTTCCTAACCTAAAGGAATGCAGGGAACGAATTTTGAGTTTAGCGTTTGATTCTTAACTAGTCTTTAATTAATAAGTTTTTCTATCTGAGCATTAATAAATATTGGAGCTCTATTAAGCAACTATCTTTTTTCAGTGCTTAAAAATTTTTTATTTCCTTATTATTTTCACCTTTTTTTGGTTTGACTTGAATTTTTTGACTTAATTTCAAATTTATCAAAATTTTTGTTTACTTTTGTAATTTTATTCTTTTTATTTTAAGCTACACGATTATGCATTTAAACTTGCCGAAACTCTTTATCTTGCTGGTGAATATGAAGAAATGCTTTGTGTTGTTTGTTATGCTTTTGTCCAACCAAAAATCGCTAGTTTAAAGTATTTTAAATTAATTTTTGAAAATTTATTTTTAATTTTCAGCTCAAAAATGTTTACTTCTCTATTATTTTTTGCCAGTATTAAAGCTAGAGATTATACTTTAGCTTTTGATTTTTTGCGTTTTTATATGACTTTTACTTTGGTAAATAATTTTTAAAAAAGAAATTTTTTAATTTTAAAATTTTCTAGCCAAGAATTACAAAAGGACGAGAATCAACGGAATCTGCTTCCGCACAAGCATTACTTCCACAATCCCATCTTCCAACAGAAAATTTAAATTATGTTTATGCAGCAATGAATTTTATTCTTTGTCAACATCAAAGTAAGGGGAATTTTTAAAAGTTTTTTTTGTTATTATTATTCTTTTAAAGGTGTCAATTATCACCGTTTTATTATGCGACAACTAGTCAAATTACCTGATTGTGATTCTTTACATATTATTTCTGGGAATAATTCAATGGTTACTGGCTCTTATAGACACGCTCTTGGTTCGAAAAATTGTTTTTATTTTTTTAAATTTATTTTTAGGCGAATATTTTATGGTTTGGTTAAAGCATCAAGACAATCCTTTATTGGCTTTTTTGATTGCTTTAGCTTTTGCTCATATTTCTTGTAAGAAGGACATTTCTTCACGGCATGTTGTTGGACTTCGGGTGACTTTTTATTAAAAAAATTTCAAAAAAAATTTTTTTTTTAATTTCTAGGCCTTAGCTTTTATGAGCAAATATTCAAATCTTCGTTCGCCTTTTCTTTCTCAAGAAATTGAATATAATATGGGAAGACTTTTTCATCAAATGGGCATTTTATCAAATGCAATTCGATGCTATGAAAGAGTTTTATATGAATGTCCAACACCAATGATCTTAACAGAGGGCCCGCATGGAGAAAGAAGAGAAGAATTGGCAATGAAGTGAGTGTTTAATATTTATGTTATTGGGTTTTGGAAAATTTAAAAATGAATTTTTTGAATGATTGTTGAATTTGTTTTGTGGATGGTTTTATATAAGGGTACAGTCCAAGCCAGGTAGGCGCAAAACTATAACTTGCTTCAAAATTTCCGAATTTTTCAAAATTTAGTATTAAACGATTCAACTCATCGAGCTAAAGAGATTGGTACCAAAATCGTTAAGGTCCTGAAATTTTTCAAGTAGTTATGGATTTGCGCCTACTTGGCCGCGCTCCTACTTGGGTGTCCCATTTTATACTATTGCTTAATTAGATCTTAAGTATCCACACTCTTTCTTACATTCTTATAAAAATAATTTTTTAGGTATGATTTGAGGCGGCAAGCATCATATAATCTCTCATTAATTTATGAATCAGCCGGTAATCGTATAATGGCTAGACACATTCTTGAAGAATTTTGCACGATTTAATTAAAAATTATTTTGTTTATATTTTCTGTTAATTTAAATAATAAATTTTTATATTTTTTTGTTTTTAGCAATAAATTTTTAAACTTATCCTTACAGTATTTTTTAGAACGAGACTTGTTTTTATAAATGTTACTACCACACACAGAGTGTTTTAGAAATAATATTCAATCATTCTGCTAGGTTTTAAAGTTAAAAATATTTTTTTTATTTTCCCCAACATTTTTATTTCACAATTTATCTTATTTTAATTAAAGTCGGTTGTCAATGTTCTGGCAAAAATACTTTTTTTATTCTCTAACTACAAAAATCCTCTTCCCCCTTTTTATTTTTTTAATTTGCATTAACACAACAACAAAATGTTTTTGTAAAAATTCGTTTATATTTCTCAATGGTTTGGTCAAACTATTTTTTAACCGATTTGTCCCCGATCCTTTCATTTGATTAGAGAATATTTATTTAAAAACAATTTTACACACAATTTTTTACCTACTTTTATAAAGGGGGGTGAGGGGGTAATTCTATTTTTATTTTTTTATTCTTTCATCTCTTTCAATTTTTTTTTGTTTTTCCGACAAAATGGACAGAATTAAGCTTAAAAAAGCCAGGCAGGCCTTTCACTGATTCAATCACTACAAAAATATATAGGGGAAAGGGAAGAGCGTGAATATAAAAATATGTGTGAGTAATTGTGTTAAATAAATAAATTTATTTATTTTTTCTCTTTTTTTCTAAAAACATCCATCCCCTTCACTTTGGCAAAAATATTTTTTATTGTAAAAAAGGCGGGGCAGATTACTATTAATTGCAGCTGTGGTTTAGTGAACAGACAATAAATAATTTTATTTGAAAAAGTTAAACAAAACTTTTGTTTTTTAATTAAAATAAAAATTAATTTTTAATTATTAAATTCTCGGTAAAATATTTTAATTCTAGTCTTATTAATTTGATTTTTAAATTTGGTTGACATTTGTCGGATTTTTCTGAATTAATTTTCTATTATATTTTTAAAATTACAACATTTAATTATGTATCAGTGTTGCCGCGGGTACAAAAAAACTTCGGGTACGGGTTTCGGGTTGGAAAATTTTCTTTTCGGATATCGGGTTTCGCAACCCTGGTATGTATGTATTATAAAATTAATTTTAATATTTTTATTTACTAATTTTTGGGGTTATTCTTTATCTAAAAATTTATTTTTTAATATTTTTCTTTCAATTTCTGTTCTTCTGTCGGCATTTTTCTTTTGTTTTTTTAATTTTTGATTTCTTTCAACTTCCCCTTTAAGTACTCCTACATTTAATATACTAATCTTTTTTCACAGATGTGTTCATTTATTTATTTACATAAATATGCCAAAAACTCTTTTTATTTATTTTCTCCCTTCCCTCCTTATTTAAAAATATAATTTTATCAGTTAATATTTCCCAGAACATAAAATATTTTTTTCTGATCAGAACAGAAGCAAAACACATAATAAATAAATAAAAATAGGCAACTATTCCCGCAATTAAAAATAATTTTGGTTAATTAATAATTAAATTTTTCTGTATTATAGCTTCTTTCTGAATTAGAGCCCCCTCTCTTTAATAAAGCCCCCCTTTGGAGGATGGTTGAAATATAGAGCCCCATGGGTCTCTATTACAGAAAATACGCTATATATATTTAGGTTATAAAAATATTTCTTTTTATTCAAGTCTTTCATTTTTCTAATAATAATTTTAAATTCTTTGTGTTCCAAAAATTAAAGATTTACCTAGTATATATTATTTTAACACATTTAAAAGGAATTAAAAGGATTAACTAATATGGGAGAACCAAAAATTAAAAAATAAATATTTTTCTCTTTTTTCTGTCCAATATTATTTTTTCTTTAAATATCTTATGTTCAATCTTTATTTTATTTGTTAAATTCCTTGTTATAAATCATATCCCAAAACTTTTCTTGAGGTTTTTGATATTTGTTTTTGGAAACCCTTGGGTATTGAAACATTTTCGTCTTTCGAGTAAAACGAATGGAAAGATTTCTCTTCTCCAATTAATTTTTAAATATATCTTTAATTTTTAACTTATGTAATTTATTAGATTTACTAAAAATATTTTTTATTAATTTTCCTTCTTTCACCCAAATTTTTTTTTCTAAAAATTAAATGATTTATTTACAACTTTTCTCCAAAATAATATTTATTATTTTTATCTTCTTTTTAACTTCTGGCATTCAATCTGATTCTGTTGTTCCCTTAAACGATTTGTCAAATGAATTTTTAAATGAAGATGTTAATTGTAATAAAAATAATGTAAGTCTAAAAAAAATTTTTTTTGAATTTTAATTGTAAATAAAATAAAAAAATAAACAAAAAATAAAGAAAATAAGATAATTAAATGAGGATTATATGTAGGGTTGTTGGTTCTTGGAAATTCCTCGGATATCTGGAACCGAATCGAAAAATTATCGGTTCTTCGACTCCGTTCGGTTCAGAACAAACAACATTAATTATTGTATATGTACCCTCTGTCAGAAAACTATAAACGCAGGTAAAAATTTTGTCTTAAAACCTATTTCTCTGTAGGAATATTTAAATTTCTATTTTAAACCTATATAATAAAGTTAAAAAAATAAGTTAAGTCACTTTTTATATGAAAATTTGGTGTTTTTCGGCATATTTTGCTACCTTTATCAGAATTGACCGTCAGAAAACTATAAACGCACTCGTGATTTCTATAACTATAAACAATCAAATATGGATAATTTTATATTTCTTTAATGAGTTATCCCTCCCTTATTAAAAATAAAAAAGAATTAGACCCATATCTCACTTCAGTGTCGAGATCCAGGTACCTCGAAAATCAACGTAAATTGGGGAATCAACGTAAAATCGAAAATCAACGTAAATTTCCATTTCGGGCTCATTCGAAAGCCCTTAAAATTTGCTATAAGATAGCAATACTCTTATAACTTAGAAAAAATTCGATAGAGATATAAAGGACGTTAATTTTCCGGAGCTAATTTTACGGGGCATTTAGTTGTTTTTCTTTGCCTTAGAGATTTAAGGCTTAATAACTTTCTGAAATATTTTTTCTAGAAAATAAAACTTATGCTATCTTATAGCAAATTTTAAGGGCTTTCGAATGAGCCCGAAATGGAAATTTAAAACAATCCATAAGGGGTCGAAAATATTTTTTAAAGAGCCCTACCCCCAATTTACGTTGATTTTCGAGGTACCTGGATCTCGACACTGAAGTGAGATATGGGTCTAATTCTTTTTTATTTTTAATAAGGGAGGGATAACTCATTAAAGAAATATAAAATTATCCATATTTGATTGTTTATAGTTATAGAAATCACGAGTGCGTTTATAGTTTTCTGACGGTCAATTCTGATAAAGGTAGCAAAATATGCCGAAAAACACCAAATTTTCATATAAAAAGTGACTTAACTTATTTTTTTAACTTTATTATATAGGTTTAAAATAGAAATTTAAATATTCCTACAGAGAAATAGGTTTTAAGACAAAATTTTGACCTGCGTTTATAGTTTTCTGACAGAGTGTATGTATCAATTTTAAATTGCTCCTTCCTTACTTCTCTTTTTGTCCTTCAAAAAATCCTCCTTACATTATTTTTAGTGACAGAGGATTAAAATAAAATTTTAAAATTTAGAAAACCAGGAAAATCTTTTAAAAACCCCCCGAAATTTTAAAAATTGGTTAATTTTAGATTTTCAATTATTTTTGGACTTTAAGTGGAAATGGAAGAAATACTAGTGTTTCACACATTTTTGGTATATTTAACTATAATTTAAATTTAGATTATTTAAATTTTAAAGGGACATTAAAAAGTTTAACAATAAATGAAGAATTACCAAAAGAATTGTGGAAAGAATTAAATAATTCTGAAATTATTTTATTAGAAACTAATTATAATGCAAAACAAGCAGCTTGGAAAGAATGTTTTAAGAAATTAAAAGAAAAGGAAATTCCGTTTGGAAAGAAAATTGAGGAAAAACTTCAAAATTGTAAAATATTTAAAAATCTAAGGCCAAAAAAATTTTGGTACTTTTCCGTTATACGACCGCAAACTGAGTGCCAGCCGACTTTGATAGGCTATAACTTTTTGATTCTTGATCAATACAAATGAATTTTATGTTTTTCGAAAACCCTCGATAAGCTGTATATTTTTTTAATAGGATAGGTCATGTCTGATCACTGAGTAAAAAGGTTATAAACCGTTAAGTCTAGTTATTTGATGTTTTCACATTTTTCGGGTTATAATATTTTAATGAGTGATCTGACCTGATCCATCAAGAAGAAAACAGATACCGCTTACCGAGGGCTTTCGAATGATATGAAATTCATTTGTATTGGATCTAGCAACAAAAAGTTATAGCCGATTAAAGTCGGCTGGCACTCAGTTTGCGATCATATAACGGAAAAGAGCCCAATTTTTTTAAATTAATTTATTTTTAAAGATTACAATAACCATCAACGTTTTGGCCTTCTAAATTATTTTAATTGGAAAGACCTTCCAGCACAATGGCTATTTCAGGGATTAGTTGATTTAAGAGCTGAATTGGTAAAATAAATAAATTTATTAAAAAGTTTTTTAAAGGAAAAAAGAGCAACAAATAATGAATTTAAAAATAAAAAAATTACAAAAGAAATTGAGGAAATAGGGAATAAATATCAAAAAACAATTATTTATTTAACTAATTTAACTAATGATTTGTGTGATTATTATCCTTCTTTGGCTGCTGATGGAAATGTGGTAAATAAATAAATTTTTTTAAATCTTAATTTAAAAATATAATTTCAATGATTATTAATAGGATTGTTGGCGACCGGTTTTAAAACCGGAATTTTTAAAATTTTTTTGTCAAAAACTAACCGTTTTTAGAAAATTTTAAAAACCGGAAATTTGTGAAAATGAGCGATTTTATTAAAAATTCCCTCAAAATAACACCGGTATTTGCTTAAAACTCGAAACCGGAAACCAGGTTTCTAAAATTTAGATTAACCGAAAACTGTGGGTACTGGTTAATAACTGTGGGTACTAGGCCCTAATTATTAACAAGTATGAATAAGTATTAACAAGTATATTAACAAGTATGAATCTCTAATTTATTTTAAATGTATTAAAAGAATTTCTAGAAATATTTTGTTAGGACTCCAAAAAATTTCTTTATTTTATTTTTTATTTAAAATTTAATTATCATCAATATCTCAAAGTAATCAAAGAATTTCCCTTTAATCATTGAAATTACTAGGGCCAAAAATAATATTAAAAATTCCAAAAACCTCTCAATTTTTTAGATGGAATTTGTTCTCGATAAATTATTAAAAGAAATTGAGGAAATAACAAATAAAAAAATAATTGGAGGTTCTTGGCAAAGGGCAATTAAAAAATATAAATGTGGAGAGTTTGAAAGAACGGATGATTTAATTGGAGAAGAAAATATTTTAAATGAATTTTTTGATCAGATTGATTTGGATAATTTTAGAAGGGTTAGTTGATTTGTGGAATAAATAAATTAATATTTTAATTTATAGACAATTAATTTATTAAACAAAGATCTTGCCAAACATCGTCAACGAATTGCTTTAAAAATTGTTAAATATTTGAAGGAAAATCCAGGAAAGAAATTATTCGTTGTTGTTAGTGCTGGTAATTTATATTAAAATAATTGAAAATATTTTGGGGAATAAATAAGGGATTAATATTTAGTGAGGACTTTTTTGTAATGTTTAACATAATTATTAGTATTAGTGCCCGGTAAAATCAATTTTTCCGGAATCGGGTCCGGATTTGCAACTATAGCCGGACCGGATCCGGCCGGATTTCTCCGGATTAATCTGGTAATTTCTCCGATTTAATCTATCCGGAAGTTTCAGAAAACTCGGATTTGGGACCCGGACTCCGGAAAAATTCGGTCGGATCCGGTCACTAATAATTATAAGGAATATATTTTTGACTTTATTTCGAAATCTTCTTCAATCTCAAATTTAAATAAAAACCTTTCAAAACACTAAATTCAGAACTATATTTTATTTATTTTTTTCTAAAATTATTTCTAAATTATAATTTCGATTTAAATAATAATATTTTTCTGTGAATATTTAACAAAAGTTTATAAAATTTATTTAATTTATATAAAAATAATATATATTTTTTACAGGCCATTTGGTTGGAGATGACAGTTTAATTAAAATTTTGGCCGAACAAGGATTTAATTTAAAGCAATATTCTCCTTCAGAAAACCCCTCAGAATTTATTCAAAACCCTCCAAAATTTACCAAAAAAGAAGAAGAAAATAATGAAATTCTTCTTCAAACAACGACAAATAAAATTCCAAATATAGTCTTTGCCGCTGCTTTACAAGGAAATCCTCCTTCTTTTTATGAAAATAGAAGTATTAGAGAAGAAAAAAATAGAGAAAATGAGGAAAATAAAAATTTAGATGAAAATAAATTAATTGAATTAAATAATGGAGAGGATGGGGATTTGGTGTTAGCAACTACAAAAATAATTCCTTTAATTAAAAATAATATGTCAGAAGAAAATAAAAATAATAATTTTAGTACTTTTATTTCTTCTAATCTTCACAGCAAAAAATCGTTTAGTTTTTAAATTTAATTCATTTAAATTTTTAAAAGTTTTCCAAAATTTATAGAGTTATAGTTTCTTTAATTTAACGTTAAATTAATTAGGTGCTGTATTTAATAGTGATGGGTTGGGTTAACCGAAACCCTAAACCCGGTTTTTTTCCGACCTGAAACCCAATCCGAAGAATATTTTGAAAATCCGTTCCGACTTTTTTCTCAACCCGACCCATCCCTGATATTTAATATAAAATACAACAAATAAGTTCAAATTCTCCCTTAAAATATTCCAAAAACCTCCCTTATTTTCCCTCTTTTTATTTAAATTTAAAAATTATTTTTAGTTATTTTTGGATTTATTTTACTTCAATTTTGTCAATAATTTTAATAATCCTTATTCTTTGTTTGTATATTTATAATAAACATTCTGGTTATCTTAAACCGCCACATCTTCCATTTATTAATGACAAAACTAATTGTTGTCAACAGCAAAGTAGTAATATTTCTGTTGCTAAAGGATTGCCTGAACTTAAAAATAATGTAAATGGAAATTAATCAAAAAAAAATTAAATTAATTAATTTCAATAAAAAATCCTTTGCATAAATGCACTGATTTAATTGTGTTTTTAAATAAATACCCGAATCAAATTTTCTTTTCTAAACTTAATTGGAAAAAAATTAAGTCTAAAGTCTATAAAACAAATTCACAAAATTTAATTAAAAATTTTTTTGTAAAAATATTAGAAATGGATCCATTTCCTTGTTATCTTACTACAATAATTAATTACCTAATTAATTTTTAATTTTAGTCCCAACAGCAACAAATATGGTCCACTACTCCTACCAAAAAACCAACAATATCTTCTCCACAATATTCACAACAACAACAACAAAATATATTTCCTTTAAATACATCCCCACCAAAATCAGCAACATCCTTTTCTGAAGCATCAAACGCAACCGGGGAAACTTCTTTTAATATTTGTGAAAATGAGGGGGGAGGAAATATTAAAAATGAGGAGGAGGAAATTAAAAATAATGCTTCTTTCGAAAATAAAAATGAGAATTCTTCTCCTTTGGTAAATTTTATAATCAAAAATATAAGTGTAATCTCTATATAATGTTATCTTCTAGGCCTGACAGGAGGGAAGTGATTTGGGAAGGGATGAAAATTCGAATAAAATCTGTAAAATATCATTAATTATTTTACTTTTTTAGAATCCAACTATAACAGCAACACCTTTAGTTGATGGACAATATCGTTCTACTAGCTCTCTTGCTTTGTCTCATACTCCAAAAACACAACTTAATCAATCACGGATGGAGATTAATGATAAAAATCAGGTAAATAATTAGACGTTTTTATTTTCTCTTATTTATTCAAAAAGATTTCTTTTTAATTTTTGTTCTTTTCTCCCCTCTCATTTAAGTGAAAGACTTAAACTATAAATAATTTATAAATTTTCAGCAAATTCCTCAAGAACCATTAAAATCCCCTCCTTTTCCCCCTCCACTCCCTTCACAACAACAACATTCAACTCTCCCAACAATTCCAGAGTCAAAAAGATTAGCCCCTCCACCTCCAACCGATTCAGTTATTAAACATAAAAAGTTGGCTTCTTTGGACGAAAATGATGAAAAAATTGTTGAAAATTTGGTAAATTCTGATAATATATTTTTAATAAAAATTTACTAAAAGGATTTCAATTCTCCAACAAATTATTTTAATAATTCAAAAATAAATGAAGAATTATTACCTTCAGAGAATCAACAACAAATTTATAATAATTTAAATAAAAACGAGTATAATGGAAGTAATTTCAATTATCCACCTTTAATTAATAATAAAGAAATACAGGTAAATTTATTGGGGATTTAACAAAAATTTCAAAAAATATTTTTAAGCAATCAGAAATATATTTACCTGAAGAGGATAATCAAAATAGCCAACAATCTTCTTCTTCAAATTCTTTCCCTTTCACAGAAGTAATTAATAATTTAAATGAAGAAGTTTTGAAAAATGACGAGAAATAAGAAGAGAAAGGAAAATAATTTTTTAATTCCTTTTTAAATACATAATTTGCCTTCCCCTAAAATTATCCAAAATATTTTTAAAATTCCAATATTTTCTTTACTATAATTTATATATATTTTTACCAAACCTCATAATATCACAAATTTTATTTTAAAATTATTTTTTATTACCACAAATAAAATTTTTAAAATTTATTTATATCTCAATTAAATTTATTTATAACACAAATTCCAAATTTAATTATTTAATTTAAAGAAATATTAAATTGAAAATAAGCTTTTCCCTTAGTTATAAATTTTGTAGTTTTTAAATAAAAATTCTCTTAATTTTGTGATAAATACTACCTGTATTAATTGCCCTCCCTCAGATAATTACCATTTAAATTAAAGTAATTACCTCATCCAGCCATGGATTGAATTAATAATCCCCCCCCCCCCATCGAATGCTTTAAAACACGCTCAAATTTCAAACCTCGTATAATTACCCTCTCTCGATTAATTACTCTCCCTCCAGCAAAACCCCAGGGTTGCTAATAAAAGTTTTACGGTATTTACGAGTTTATTTTTTTACGAGTTTTTTTTTTAAAGCTTTAATTAATATTAATTCGAGCAAAATCCAATTTTTTAAAAAAATATGTAAGTGAATAATTTAGAAAAAGCCTTGAGAAACTATCTGGATTTTTTAAATTCCAACATAATATTTTAATTCAAAAGAAATCTTGATTTAAAAAAGTTTTTTCCAACTAAAAAGAAAAATAAACAATTAAATACCGTCTCTTCTTTCAATTAAAAATTAACATTTTTAGCAATTTCCTTCTACATAATTTTCTATTTTTAATTAAATTTTATTTATATTTATTTAATTATTTAAGTAATTTTTAAAAAAATTTTTAAATAAATTTTTTACATTTAATCAATAAAGTCAATATCGCCTTTAAAATTTAAATTGTCTAATTAAAGTCCACGACTAATTTTTTATCCTTCCCTTCCCTTTCTTTAATTTTTTTACTTAAATTTTTTTTAATTTTAATTTTCTCTTGCCATTCCTCTTTAATTAATTAAGAAGGAAATAAAATTTTCCTCAACTAAATTTACTTGGCTAATTACTAAAAATATAAAATTAATTTCTACTTTAGGGCTCTACTTTCTTCTAACTTTAGAACATTCGTCCCATAAACTTTTAGGCGTCCCAAAAGTTTATTCATTAAAGCATCGTTATAAACAATGTTATATATCAAAAATTTGTTTATTAATGGCTTAAAATAAGAATAAAGGACAAAATATTTTTTTCTAAAAAATTTCAATATTTTTATTTAAATTTTTGTTAAATATTTTCTTATAGAAAATGAAAAATCCCCAATTTTTATATTTAATTTTGTTGATATTTTCAATTAAAATATCTTTAAAATATTCTTGTCATTCGACGGAGAATGGTAGTAAAATTGTTAAGGAACAAAAAATTGAAAATATTAAATATATCGAAGAGGGTATGTTTTAATAAAAAATAAATACACACCCAAAACCGAGATATTGGAGAGTATGTATTAGAGCTGCTCAAGGCCGAAATTTTCTAAGATTAAAGATCAAGAGTCGGGGGGATTCAGATTTCTGACAACCCGTTTTATTCCCGCTACACTCTATCACAAAAACTATATACCTTATTTGCTAAAATAATTACCCAGGGTAATTGTTGTTTCAACCTCTCGCTGGAGGGTGTGATTAAATTGAAGGGGTAAACTATTTTTAAGTTGGGTAATTATTTTTCGATCCCTGGCTGTAGGGGGTAAAATTAATAGGGCGGGAATAACTATTTGAGAGAGGGACATTATTTTAGCATTTACGGTATATTCTAAGGCCACTCCTACAATGACATCCGTGTCAAGCGTTCTGTTTTAATTTTTATTTATTTAAGATTCTAAAATTACAAAAGAGGAGTACAATGAGATAGTAAAAGTAATTGATAAAAAAGACTTTTCTGATTTTAACCGAATAATCAGAGAATCACAAGATTTAAATTTGGAAGATATTTTGAAGTATTTGATGAAAATAAAGAATGGAAAGAATAGTTATCTTTTACAATATTATCAAAATATAGATGATTTTTTAAGATTTAAAAATGAATTAAAATTTAAGATTGCGTTAGACAGAAAACAACAAAAAGAAAAATTAAATGAGGTGGTTAAGGTGGTATTTAATAAAATATTTTTCCAAACGTTATTCTCGAAATATTTAGAATCTAAGATTAAAATTTCTGTAATATTAAATGAACAAAAAATAGCTTTAGCTTTTTCTCTCCTTTAGCTAGTGCAAAAGGTTATTCGGCGGCTGGAAGTGAACCAGCATCTTCAGTAGACCGGACTGATGTGTTAGCCATTACACTACGCCGCCTACTGTAAAGCCTTAGGAAATAAAAAGATATATGCTTTACAACAATATTCTGAATCGGCCAATTCTAAATTACTGAATCCCCCCTCCTCTACCAAAATTTTCTGGATAGCCAGATACCCAAATAAATTTAAATTATTGAAATTTAGCATAAGAAAAATACATTTAAATCGGTTGCTACGAAGGTTATTGAACAACAAAAAGAATTAAAAGAATTAAAAGAATTAAAAAATGCTGAGAATATCGGAATTGTTGTAATTTTATTAAAAATAGAATTTTGTAAAAATATGGAGGAAAAATACAAAAATAAAGAGAAAAAAGTTTTAAAAAAATTTTGTGAAGAGACTTTAATTACAAATAAAGTTAAGGACATAATTAAAACTTTGGACGAGCAAAGAATTGAAGAGGAAAAGAAAGAAAATGAGAAAAAAAAATTAATATGAAAATTAAAAAGTCAAATTAAATTTATTTTTTTTTACAAATTCCCTTTAAAGTTTTGACATTTTATTCCGAAGATTACATTTTGATTTCCATATTATCAGTTTTGACAGAAATTGTTTTTTATGTACATATCCATACATATCATATATTGATATCAGGGATTCCACTCTTCCGATTCCAAAAAATTTTTTGAATTCCTGGCAATTTTTGGGGTTTGGCATGGTTATATACATATTATTATTGGGACGATCCTTGATATAAAAATTGTAAATACCTCAACAATGTATTCATTTTTAATTTTTCAAGACATTTTAATCTTCTCCAATTTTCATTGTGTAAAATTTAAAAAACATTTATTGCATAAATATTTGATTACCAAAGTTGGATTTATAATATATGTAAATACACCAAATATAAATACACCCAATCCAAACAATTGTAAACTAAGTTTGTCGGATCCAGATATCCGAAGATTTCCAACTATCCAACAGCCTTATTATAAACAACAACTGAGTGTTGTGTATAATTAAATATTTAATAATAATTTATTTAAAAAAAATAATGAGAACAATGAATTAAAATTTTTTGATTAAAATATATAAATTAAAAATAAATTTTTAAAATTAATTATTAATTCAACTTCAATTTATTTTTAAATATTTCTTGCCTTCTTTATATTCTTCCAAAATATTCTTTTAATTAATTTATTCTTGCATAAGCAATCTAATAAATTATTTATTTAATTTATTTTAATCAACAATTCCTTTAGAAAGTCTTCTTTTATTTTCTTCATTTTCATAATTTTCTATATTTTCTTCATCCCTCAAATATTGTTTTTCATTTGTTGGAAGTACTAAACTAAAAGAATCTTGGGAAGTTGAAGGCCTAGGAAATATAGCTCTGGCAACTACTCCAGCTGGAGGGCCATTAATCCAATTTAAACGTTTAATTAAATGTATAGGAGCTATTCCATATTGTTGCTGGGAAGCTGAAGAATCTGAAATGAATAAATGAAAAATTTTTTAGTAATTAATATAAATCCTGTGGAATTCTGTACAATTCCATAAATGAGCTTGTATTTAACCAATATCCACCTAGAGAACGATAATGACATTTCTTAAAGTATTGTTTAGAAAGCCCTCCTTCCCACCAGAGGTGGGTCGGAACAGTCAGGGGTGTCGGAAATCGGAACTGTCGGAAATCGGAAATGGCTGAAAAGTCGGAACTCGGAAATCGGAAATAAAATTTTTTTCGGAAATCGGAAATCGGAAGGAAAAAAACGTCGGAAATCGGAATTCCGACCCACCTCTGCTTCCCACCTCCCAGTCTTTGGTAAAATTTAATTTATTTTCAATACAAAAATTATTTTGTAAGTTTTGTGTGTCCTCTCAATAATTTTTAAAAATTATTTTATTATAAATTTACTCAAAAATTTTACCCCTTTTTTGTCTTTCCCCATATTTTCCAACATTTTTATATCCATTTCTTGAAGTCATTTGTCTTTGACTAGAATCAACAAAAGCACATAAAGCCCCATTTTTCATTTCTCTTAAAGTACAATTAAATGTTCTAACTAAAGCTTTTTGGTGATTATTTGGAGTTATTGAGGTTGTTGTTGGTGTTGTTGTTAAGGTTGTTTTATTATTTTTATTTTCTGAAGGGGAAGAGAATTGATGCCAACTGAAAAAATTAGAGATAGGAAATTATTTTATAAAATTAATTTATAAATTGAAAATATAATTGAGAATATCAATTGAGAGTATATTTAATATTTGAGAGTATCAGGGATTTTAGAATTTGTGATCGGAGTCGGGTAGAATTTCGGATCGGAATTTCGAAGAATTATCGGATAGGTATCGAATAGAGAAATTGTTCAGGTTTGCGATTTCGGTATCTGATAACCTGTGCCGTCCCTTGTAAGTATACAGGTCCCAGCAGTATTTAACAACTCTCTGTTTTATTTATTTCCTAGTTTAAATAAGTTTCTCGAAATTAAGGACATATACAACCCTTTTTAAATTAATATTCCAAAATATGATTTTTTCGGATATCGGTAAGTAAAAAAGTCTTCTAATTTGTTCATTAATCAACATAGAAAAAAAGCCTCATTAACAATACTAATTTAAGAATAAATTGACTGACATCTTAGTTAATTAAAAAGGGATTATTTAAACAATATCGGAATTAAATTTAAACAAAAACAAACATTTTTCTCTTCTTTTGTCCAATTGTATTACTTTCTTTATTATTTTTTAATAAAGAATTATTTATATTTTTATTATTAATATTTCCATTATTAATTAATAATCTGTCATCTATCTGTATTGAACGTGTTCTATTCCCACTTAAAGCAAGTACCAATTTCCATCTAACAATTTTCCATTGTTCAGCATTTAAACATCCATTTATTTGGGCATATTGATACCCAATTTGTCTACAAAAATCCCTCCATTCAATAATATCGTTCTCTTCGGAATTTGGACGGGCAAGTGGAATAAGTACTGATTCTTAATTAGTATTGTTTTTATTAAACACCGTATTGTCTCGAATAGAAGCCCAGGGCTTCTATTTTTCAATACCCCTCATTGAGTGGAATTCTGTTAGGGCATGGGCTTCTAATGGAGACGGGCTTCTATTAGAGACAATACGGTAGTTAGGTATATGTATTCCCATTTCCACTTTTTCTAATTAAAGTTAAAAAAGAGGGGTTAAAGTCTCATCTTTTTACCACCTTATACCGTCTTTTTAGCGCATTCACCCCCTTAATGCCATTAACTAACAGGGACTTTAAATCTATCTAAAAATAAAAGTCAGCCCTCCTTTTTGGCAAGTTTATAAGAAAATAAATTACCAATAATATTTCCAAGTAAATTAGTATGTTGAAGTAATTCTGTATTATTTAGGAATAATTGAGGAGTAATTGGTCGATTTTGAATTTTATCGATACCTAAAGCATCTCCAATTGAAGAACAAGTATTGCAAAGCTATTAATTTAAAATTTTATTTTCCTATATATTTTTTGATAGAAAATTAATAATAAAGATAGAGATTTTTGAAAAGCCTGGGCCTGTTCCTGGGGTTTGATTTATTGTCCTGGGCCAGGTCCTGGGCTTGTAGTCCAGGAAAAACCCAGGCCCAGGAAAAACCCAGGAATGTCAAAAAATGCCTGGGCCTGGACTCTGGGTACAGGAAAAACCCAGGCCTTGGTCCAGGTCCAGCTCGCTCTCTAATTAATAATTATTTTTTATATCTTTATTTTTCTAATTTACCCAATTAATTATAATCATTTAATCTTTAATTTTCTTTTTTCTTTTCTTACCGAAGAAAGTATATCGGCACATATTTCATTCTTTAATTCTCTAAATTTATTTAATGCTTGTTCCGCGGAAGTAGAATCTATTGGTGCTGATCCTCTCAACCAATCAGCTCTAGAAGAAGCCGAAAGTGTTAAACTTGTAGCAAAACGTTTTACTTTTTTCTTTAAAAATTAATTAATTTTTATTTTTTAATTTTTTTATTTCCCCTCACTTCTTTACATTCTGGCCATTTATAAAATATTAACCAATTTGTAGCTGAATGTATAGCCAATAACATATTCGAAAAATCAGTTAAATATAAACTACTTATATACTTTAAATTTTTAAATTTAATTTTAAAAATTAAAAGTCAATTAACTTGTTCCATTTCTAATTCTGTTTGTTGACTACTTGTTTTACCTCCATAACCCATTACTTCCATTAATATTGTATTAAATAAATATAGAGCTAAAAAAATTTTATTTATTTTTATTTTCACCTAATACTTTTTAAAAAATAATATTTTAATTTTCCAAAAAATATTTTTAAAATTTGGAGGGGGGGGGGGACGAAAAGAAAGAAGACAAAGGACAAAAACAATTTACCTAACATAATGTCCAAACCAGACCTGCTCATGGATACGAATATGAGTACAGATAATATCAAGATGCCTGCAGATATCCGCCGTAAATATCCCGATACGGATACCAAAATCAATATCCGTGAGCAGGTCTGGTCCAGAATTTTCAATTTTGGATATTTAAACCCAAATTTAAATAAGATTGCCCAAGGCGAAAAGATACTTTTCAAAATTTAATTCCAAAATTTAAAACTTACTATTACAAATAATAAATTTAATTGACAGAAACTGAAAATAAATAATTATTTATTTATTTATTTAAATTTAATTATTTTACCGTTAACATTAAATGAACATTTCTTCCCAAAGCTCTCTGTCTTTGCGGAATTATTTGTTGATGTCCAACAGTTCTTTGGGCACTAGCTATTTGTAATGTTCTAACAGTTAATATAGCTATAATAACTATTGGTGTTGGTGCTCGAAATATTAAATCCGGAATTAAATGAGATAATATGGCATAATACTGATTGTTTACCTTGAAATTTTAGGTGAAAATAATTTTTGGAAATTTTTATTAATATATATATATAAAAAAAGTTACTTTGCCTATAAAAGTAGTGGTAGTTTAGCTACGTGACTTTCAAAAACCTAGAACTTTTTACAGAGTTGAGATATGAATTTGGGACTTTGACATCTTGCTGGGTACTTTTTATGGGTCATCTGGGAAAAATGTTGTTTTTTCAATAATTGCCCCCCTTGGTACCTAAATCGCATAGATACCGGGGATATCTCCGGAACGGATAAAGATAGCGGAAAAGTTCCGCTTGGAGGGCACTGGAGCATGATTTGGAGATGCTGAAACAAAAAAACCCGAGGTCGAAATCCCAAGTCTAAAGGTCGATATGCCTGACACAAAATTGGTTTTTCGGTGAAAAGTCCGATTTTTCGGAAATGACGAAATCCTGGGGGCATATCTTATAGGTGAGAGAGAAATTGTGATTGGCAGGTGAAAAAAATAGTTGAAGCAAGTTTAAACTTGCAGCAGAAGCAAGTTTAAACTTGAAGCAGGGTAAACAAATGAGGAAACACGAAGCAAAGTCGAAATTAGGGATCCGGGATTTTCGGGATTTCAGAGTATGGGTGAGTAGGTAGTCGTTTGAGAGCTGGGAGTGAGGGGAGTTGAACGGGATAAGGATAAATGTCGAATTTTCTTTAAAGTGAGGAAATCCTGGGGGCAAATCTTATAGGTGAGAGAGAAATTGTGATTGATAGGAGAAATTTCGAGTTGAAATAGTGGGATTTCGAAGCTGAAGCAAGTTTCGAGTTGAGGGAGGGTAAGTTGAAGCAAAATAGGGGGAATTCGAAATTAGGGATCCGGGATTTCGGAATTTTTAGGGATTTTGGAATATGGTCGAATGTGTAGTCATTCGAAAGCGGATAATGAGGGGAGTTGAATGGGATAAATAGTAAAGCCGAAAGTCGAAGTTCGGAGTTCGAACTTCGAAATCCGGGATTTTCGGGATCGGGAAGTATGGTCGAATGAGTACTCATTCGAGAGGGGATAATGAGAGGATCTTAGTGGGATAAAGAATCAAGCCGAAAGTCGAAGTTCGAAGTCGAACTTCGAAATCCGGGTTTTTCGGGGTTAGGATATATGGATGAGTGGGTAGTTTCAAGAGGTGATAACGAGGGGAATTGAATGAGATAAAGCCGAAAGTCGAAGTTCGGAACTTCGAAATCCGGGATTTCCGGGATTGAGAAGTATGGTCGAAGTATGGTCGAAAAGTATGGTCGAAAGTATGGTATGGTATGTCGAAAGTATGGTCGAACTAAAAATTAAAAATTCTTTAATACTCATTCAAGAGGGGATAATGAGGGGAGATGAGTGGGATTATTAAAAATATCGAAACTTGAAATGTAGAATTCGAAGTTCGAGATTCGACATTTCTGGGATTTGAGAATCAAACGGATATAGGTGAACGAGTAGTCATTCTAAAGCATATCTAAAGGGGAATCCATTGGGATTAACCAACATTTCGAATTTCAAAGTTTGTAGTTCGAGATTTGGGATTTGAGTCTGGGACTGAAATGGTTTTTCGACCATAACTTTTCAAGAAAATTTTTTAGAATTTTTTCGTCTTCGGATTCGATCTCAGCGTGTTCGGTTTCTCTATAAAACACATTTTTTCTGTCAAAATTAAAAAATTTCTACCCCTCGAATTTTCAATATGGGTAACCCTTATGAAAAGTATTTGGAAATATTTTAAAAAGCATAACTATTTAAGGGATTGAGATTTTTGAATGGGATTTCGATTATAAAATAGTTCTTAAATTAAAAATTCTTTAAGGTAAAAAACATTTGAAAAATTCAAAACTGGAGCCGTAGGGGTCGATTTTTTAAAAATCCAAAATTTTTCGATTTCTTGAAAATTTTCTTGGTTTTTTGTTGTAAGATCGGTGTAAAAGTAGTTTCCCCGTATAGAGCAGATTTTTCCATATATAATAGGATTTTAAAATCTTCAAAAAAGGATACTTTGGGCCAGTTATGATTTTTTGAATATTTCAGTGATTTTTTCGGCCGAAATTTCCGGCCAAAAATTTATTTTTTCGAAAACCAAGATAGATATGGCGAATGATATATCATTTGAAAGCTCTCATCGAGCTGACTTTAAAAATATTTTTTTCGAAATTTTATGGGGCATTTTGACGAAAATACAGAGGTTCGAAAATTTGTGGGGTGGAGTACCGTATCAGGAGAATTATGGTAGGGAGAGAGAAAAAATGATTGACAGGTGAAATTGGTGGCAGAGAAGCTAAATTTTTCTCCGTCTCTGACCATGCAGGGCAAACCGGCGAAGAACTTAAATGTGAATTTTGTATATCTGGGCAAATTTTGTGGGTGATAAGCTGGATCAGGTGTAGATCCGAATCAGGAGCATCTATTGCTTCAGGTTTCTGCTTCAAGTTTCGAAATTTGAAACTTGAAGCAAATTTGCTTCATGTTTTAATTTTTTGAAGCTTGAAGCAGATTTGCTTCAGGTTTTGAAATTTTTGAAATATATTGAAATTTTTTCACGTTTTTGAAATTACTGCATGTTTTGAAATTTTTAGTTTTGAAGAAAATTTGATTAAATTTTGGTTTATGAAGCAAAATTTGCTTCAACTTTGAAATTTTAGTTTACGAAGCAAATATGCTTCAACTGTGGAAAGTTTTAAACTTGAAGCAATTGCTTCAACTTTTAAAAATTTTGCTTTTTAGCTGACAAAAGTGGAAGGATGAGTCCCAACTGAGGGAACACGAGGGCCGAAGGCCAAGTGACTCTAAGTGGAAGGATGAGTCTCAACTGAGGGAACACGAGAGCTTGAATTTTGGTTTATGAATCCGATTTTTGTGAGCTACGGGGGTAGGTCGGCAGAACAAGGCTGAAAACGGAAAAAGGATTAGGTTTATGTTACTGTTGTAGAACCCAGCGACCGTTGACACCCGCAAGGCGCGTGCCGCAAAACCCCGCGCGAAGCGCGGGGTTTTGCACAAGCGCCTTGCCGACGCTCCATAGGTCTATCAACATAAACCTATTCTTTTTTAATGTATTATTTAATAAATGTACTATCTAATAAGACGAGGGCCGAAGGCCCGAGCTGACACCCATCTAAAAAGGGATGGCGAGGGCCGAAGGCCCGAGCTGACACCCATCTAAAAAGGGATGGCGAGGGCCGAAAGCTCGAGATGACACCCATCTAAAATGAAGGGCGAGGGCCCGTGCTGACACCCCATCTAAAAGGGAGGGCGAGGGCCGAAGGCCCGAGCTGACACCCATCTAAAAGGGGAGCAAGGGCCGAAGGCCCGAGTTGACACCCATCTAAAAGTTGACACCCATCGGCTTCCCCAACGTGGGGAAGACGAGGGCCGAAGGCCCGAAGTGACTCTAAGTGGCATGATAAGTCGCATCGAGGGGAAGATGAAGGCCCGAAGTGACTCTAATTGGAAGGATTAATCCTAAAGTGTCTAAAAGTAAGGACGATTAATCCTAAAGTGTCTAAAAGTAAGGGCGCCTCCCTTTCCATCTTAAAGGGAGGCGAGGGCCGAAGGCCCGAAGCAATGAAAAGGCAGTCTAAACTCTTCTTCCAAGCATCAAAACTTTCTAGCAGCGCGCGAAGCGCGCCCCAAAGCCGATAGGCTTTCCAACGGGTAGAACAAAATTTGACCCAAAGTATCTTAAAGGCACCCAGCTATCCTCCGCCATCAGTGGTCAAACCCACAGCTAGTTTATTTTTAAAAAGGTAAATAAATGGATACTAAATGGAGGCATAATTTTAAATCTTAGTTTAACTTCTAAAATTTTTTCATACCAATTCTCGTTGTACAATCATTGTTCTAACTTCAAATCCATTAGAACGAAATTCATAACTAAATTTTAAAAATATTTATTTATTTACAAAAATCTTTTCTTTTCCAACCAATCTATTAAAGCCCTTTCAAAAGGAACAGCCAGAAAATTCAAAGCAAAAGCCCCAAAAACAATACAAGAAAATATTGAACGTAAAGAGAATTGTCCTTTTCGAGTACGCTGTTCTAATGGACGGGAAACAGCTTTGTGTCTTTCGATTGTAATTGCTAATACTTGCCAAATCTTTAAATTAAATTTAAATTTAAATAATTATTTAAAAATCCTCATACAGTTCCGGTAACACAAAAACTGGCAAATGGTTGGAATAAATAAAGTAAATAAGCAGTTACTCCAACAAAAGGTAAAATACCTAGGCACATACAAATAATACCTTTAAAAATATTTTTAAAAATAATTTTTAAAAACCCAACCATAAGAGCAAAGGCAACAACATAAAAGGGCAATATCCCAAATACATAAAGCTGTTAAATGTTTGGCTAGACGGCGAGAAAAGTGATTGGATTTGTTATGTAACTAATAAAAAATTAATTTAATTTAATGAAGAAAATTTGGAGGAGGAAAAAAGGAGGAGGGAAGTACTTCCAATAATTAAATATTATCCTTAAATTTATTTTTTTCGACTAGGCTAAAAAACTCTAATTTGCCGAATTTATCTCACTAAAAACTACTCGAAATTCCCCCATATTCATCCCTACAAATTATTAAAAAGTTCTAAACTGAGCGTCTTCTCGGGGATTTGTTAGATGTTTTTCTCTTTAAATTTTCAGTTATCACACTTATTTGTAAATCGAACAAGTCTTTTAATTAATTTCTAAATTTACTTGATAAACAAATAAAGCATTTCCAATAAGACCAAAACTAACTAATAAACAAGTAATTAATCCATTAACTACAAATGAGAATCTTTCATATCTGAAAAAATATTTCTTTATTAAACACATATTTAACATATTTTGATAACTTTAAAGTACTTAATTTTATGTACTTATTTTTTTGTATTAGGGAGTAATTAGAATACTTACGCCTCCAATTCTGCAAGCATTTTCTTAGCTTGAGGGTCATCATCCCCCAAACTTCGATAAAATAAAAGTAAATCAAAACACCAAGCTATAAATTAATTAATTTAATTATTTCCCTCTTTAATCTCCAAAAAACCTTCAACTGGGGGTTCTTCCATAAAAATAGAATTTGTTGTTAAATTATTTTCATTACTTATATTTACAGAAGGGTTGTTATTGTTGTTAGAAGTAAATAATTTTAAAGGGGTAATTGTTGTTGTTGTTGTTGAAGTACCGATAATAGTAAAAGGACTTTCGTCCATTTTTTAAAAAATAAGGGGGGAATATTTAAATCTAGTAAATTATTTTTTAATAAAAATCAGGAAATTTCAAGTAATGCTTAAATTATTTTAATTTTTTTTTCAGAAATTATTTTTAGAAACATTTTACTAAATATTTTTAAAATTAAAATTAATATTTTTTTTGCAAAATAAAATATATTTTTAAATAAAAATATATTTTTGTATTAATTTAAATTTAAAAATAATTTAAAAAAATAGTTAATTTATTTATTTGATGTCTCAGCTTCTCTCTAATAAAATATATTTTTATTTAATTTATTTCATCTCTTTAAATTCCCACAATTTTTGTTCATTTAAAAAATAAATAAATTTTTTAAAACAAATATAGTATAAATTAGAATAAAATAAATAATTTAAAAAAATTTTTAAGGAAATTATTGAGGAATTTTCATAAATAAAAATTTTTCTTAGAAAATGGAAAGGAAGTAATTAAAAATTAAATTGAAACCAAAATAATAATAAAAAATAAATATTTACTTTATTTTTGAATTAATATCATAGTTGGAAAATTTTTAAGAAAAATTTTGTTAAGAAAATATAAACTGGAATAGAATTTACCGTGTTGTCTCTAATAGAAGCCCTGAGCTTCTATTTTCAAGACCCCTCATTGAGTGGGCTCCTAATATGGCATGGGCTTCTATCAGAGACAATACGGTATATATTTAAATTAAAATATTTTTAAATTAATTATTTAATTTATTTTAAAATTATATACATATCAACCAAAAATATGAAAATTTAAAAAATAATTAATCGTTTCTGGCTGTTTAATATAAAAAATATTTGTTAAAAAATAATTTTAATTAGCATACTAATTGTTTTATATATTTTTGCAGGAAAGAACAAAAAAATTTCTACAAAATTAATGAAAAGAAAATTTTTTTAATAGAACTAAAAATATATTTTATAGTAAAATAGCAGACTTTTTTTTTATCAAAAAAAGATTATTTTTAAAAAATAAATTATTTCTTTATTTTCTAGACTTCTAAAATAAAAATAAAAATAAAAAATTATTTTAAATAAATTTATGAGACAATTAAGGTTTTCTTATAAAAATCAAAAAAGTTTTGAAATATTTTAAGAAAATAATTATTATTTTAATTTATCTAAATAAAATATTTAAAAATAAAAGAATTTAAGAAAAAAAAGAAATATTTTTAAATTTAATAAAATAAAAGAATTTTTAAATAAAAAAGACATTTAAAAAACAATTATTAATTGAGGAATTTTTGTTGGAATTTAACAAAAAAATAAAAATAATTGTTGATTTTTAAAATTTAAAAAGAAAAAATAATTGTAAAAATAGCTAAATTAAATTAAAAAAATATTTTTTTAGAGTTTAAAGAATATTTTTTGATTATTGAGCTTTTAATTAATTATTTAAAATTAAATGTTCCTTCTTTTTTTAAGCAAAAGTTTTGGGTAAAAAAATAAAAATAATTAATTAATTGTCCTTTTAAAAATTATTTTGAGGGTTTTTTTAGTAGAAATTTTGTTTTTTTAAATATAAGATGAGAAAAATAATTTTTTTTTTGGAAAAAAGAGAAGAGGAGAGGAGGGGAGATTAGCTAAAAATAAATAAAAAAGAGAAGAAAAGGAAGGTGGGAAAAACATTTTTTGGAGGAACGTCGATGAAATTTTTAGAGAATTTCCGGTAGTTTTCAACAAAAAAATAAAAAGAGGGGACCTTCTGCCAAGTTTTAAAAGCTTTAGGGGAAGAAAAGAAGAAGAGAAAAGGGCAAATTTGTGACAAAATTTTAGGTAATTATTTTTTGTTTTGTCAATAATTTACTAGCTTTTTTTTGTTTTATTTCGTCACTAGTCTGGTTAAAATAAAAAGTTTTTTAAAAAAAATTTAAATTAACAAGAAAATTATTTTTATTAAAAAAAAGAAAAGAAGCTAAAATAAAAATAAAGGAATTAGAGGTCGGCGCGGGACGGGGTCGGCGCCTCTGCCAAGAGGAGGCGCGGTATTTTCCGGGATCCCAAAATCCCGGATTTTTTTTAATTTTCGGGGGGATTTATCCCTCAGGATCCCTTCCCGTTATCGGTTAAGAAAAAATCCCGACTCGGGATCCCGGAAGTGTGATTTTACCAACCTCTAAAAGAATTATCGATATTTCTTTAAAATATAAGAAAAAAATGTCTAGAATGACATTCAAAAAAATTTTTTTAATTTTTTTATTAAAATATATTTAAATGTTTCATTCTATAAATTAAAGAGAGAGAGAGAGAAATTATAAAAAAATATTAATTTTAAAATAAATATTAATTTTGGATTGGAAAAAAGTTTTTTTTACTTGGAAGAGAAAAAGAAAAAAATTCCTTTTGGAAAAACCAATTTTTGGGTATAAATCACGCGGATAAAATTTTTGTTTGGTTATTGAGTTTTTTCTTTCATTATTCAATCTTTTATCTTTTTTGAAAAAAGTAAAATGAATGAATGAAGTATTTAGAAAAAGAAGAAAAGAATAATTAAATTAGCATAAAAAGGTAAGGGGTGGAGGGATGGTTGGGCGCTTAAATAAGTTGGGCTTTGATTTATTTATTGACAGCTGATAAACAAAATATACAAGTAAAATATTCGAATATTTTTGATAATTTTAGCTAATTTTTTATAAATTACAAAAATTATTATTTTAAAAATACAAAAGTCCCCTGCATTTTCCGAACGTGAGCAACGCGAGACAACCAAAAAAATCAACAAAACACGCAAACGCAGAAAACTCAGAAATAGAAATTTTTTATTAATTGCCTCCCTCCATCGAGAATCATTAAATTATAATGCAAAAACGTATTTCCAAAAATTCTCAACTACTTAAATCATTTATTAATATGTGTGGTACGAGATAGAGACCGGCTGGGAGTGTTGTACGAGAAGCGAAATCTCGAAACATTCTCGATCTCGATAACCGAGATTTTCGATCGAGATCTCGTCTCAGTCCGGTCTCTAATACGAGATACGAATATGAGCAAAAATAGCTTATACTTTCTCATACTAACAATAAAAGTATTAATAGAAAATTTCTTTGACATCAAAAATTCACAAATTCATATCTCATCGAATTTAAACAAGAAAATTTTCAGAATATATTTGCGCCCAAACATTCAATTTTCTTTTAGCAATATGAAGAGTCTTCCCTTTTTTTAATAAAACAAAAATTTTAGCAGCTGCTAAATGATTTATTTAAATTTTTATCCCAAAGAATCCTTTCTCTCCCTCTCTCTCAAAAATCTAAATTAAATAAATAAATATATATTTAATATAAAGACACGTTTTCTGGCTGGCATAAAGAATAATTTATTTTAAGTTTTGTAGACAGATTAAAAATTAAATATTCGAGGAAATAAATTAAAGAAAAGTTTTTAAAAAAATCTTTTTTTGGCTGTACTTTAGTACGTGGGTCCCGAGCTTGATATACAAATGTTATACCATTTGAAAGAGCTCGTCGAGCTGAGTCGAATGACACCAGTTTTAGCCCGAGGAAAAATTTTTGAACCGAGATATAGGCCCCCGAAAATCGAAAAACCATAGGGGGACCAAGCACTTTTTTGGGGTGAAAAATTCGAAAATGCAAATTATACCTCATTCGAAAGAGCTCATCGAGCTGAGTCGAATGACACCAAAATCAACGAAATCTGACTTGATTTGACAAAGTTATGATCTTTTCTTTTAGCTCCTTACCTATGGCATTTGTGGAGATTTTTGCTGCTACGGAGGCCCCAAATACGTCCAGAGCAAGGGAGATAGGAATAGGTTTATGTTACGAGCCCAGACCCAGCGCCCGTAGACTCCCCGCGAGGCGCGTGCCGCAAAACCCCGCGCGAAGCGCGGGGTTTTGCACAAGCGCCTCGCCGACGACCCATAGGTTTAGAGTTTTTTGTTTTTCTGTTATAACTTTGTCTAATCTTGTTCAATCACGGTGATTTTGGTGTCATTCGACTCAGCTCATCGAGCCCTTTCGAATGAGGTATAATTTAGATATTCGAATTTTTTGACCCCAAAAATTTTCAAAATTCGGGGGTCTGTAACTCGTCCATATGAAGTCAGATTTCGTTGATTTTGGTGTCATTCGACTCAGCTCGATGAGCTCTTTCGAATGAGGTATAATTTGCATTTTCGAATTTTTCACCCCAAAAAAGTGCTTGGTCCCCCCTATGGTTTTTCAAATTTCAGGGACCTATATCTCGGTCCAAAAATTTTTCCTCGGGCTAAAACTGGTGCCATTCGACTCAGCTCGACGAGCTCTTTCAAATGGTATAACATTTGTATATCAAGCTCGGGACCCACGTACTAAAGTGACCCCCTTTTTTTTAATAATTTTTTTCTTTTTAAAACTTAACAATTTTAAAGAAAATTTGTTGTTTTTAATTAATTTTTTAAAATATTTAAATAAAAATAAATTGCTTAAGGCTATAAATTGAATAAATATTTAAATATGTACATATGTACATATGTAAATATAATAATTAATTTTAAAAATAATTTTAATAACAAAAATATATTTTTCTAAATATTTTTGTAACAAAGCAAAAATATCTTTTTGTTTTGAAAAAAATTATATGTATATAAAAATTTTTCTAAATAAAATTCAAATTTTTTTTAAATTTATTATTGCGTGTTTAAAATTGTAAAAAAAGTTTATTTTATCTCTAGGTAGATTTTTTAAATGAATTTTTGTTGCCTTTAATAATTTTTAAATTAAATAATATTTTTGCAAAAAAATTTATTTTAGAAATGAGGCTTTAAAAATTAAATTTAAAACGCGATATTTTAAATGTTTGAGAGAAGAAAAAAATAAAAATAATTTATTTAG